GGATGGTCAGATTGAGGTAGTTAATAGAAGTTTTGCTAATATGTTGCGGTCTTTGGTTGGAGAGCACATTAGAGATTGTGATTCCATTTTGCCTACTGCTCAGTTTTCTTATAATAATTCTATTAACCGAACTACGGGACTAAGTCCTTCTAAAATTACATATGGGTTCAAATCTAGACAGCCGTTAGATCTAATATCCATGTGTTCTAGGTATAGGATTTCTGAGTCTGCATCATCATTTGCATGAACTTCATAAAGAAATTGAACAACAAATTGAAAGGAGCAATAATGAATACAAACTACATGCATACTTGAAACGACGTTTTAAAACTTTTGAGGTTGGTGACTCCGTGATGCTATGGATTCATTCGGAATGGTAGATCGTGAGGAGTTGCAGCAGATTGAACCATATACACTATATTTCTACGAGAGCACTAGAGACACTCGATGGAGTCAAGTTTTTTCCCACCCTGGGAGAATGATGGGGACATCAGATCTTGAAAGGTTTTATCAGAGGCGTGGCCGCCGATCTACGGCCACGATCGAGTCATTGTACTTTTGATTTATGTTAAGTATTGTCTTATTTATGTGTTATTGTATTTGTTTTATTTTATTTTATTTTATTTTATTTCCCATTGTACCCTTCTAATAAAGGGATATCGTATGTAAGCCTAAGAGGCATTAGTGTCTTTTATCTTTGAGTCCTTTTGTATGAGGCTTTATATAGCCCTCCTTACTTTCTTTTGAGGTTAATGAATGATTATTGGAGAAATTTTTTTTTATTGGAGTTGTTGAGAGAGCTTGAGAGATCGAAGAGAGATCCCTTAGAGAGGAAGATCGGCGCATCACCCACCAACCTTGGAGACGGCCGGGTTTGTGGTTTCCTATCTTCGTCTTACTTCACTCCATCTCCCTCCACCTAGCCGTTGGCCAAGGCCCATCCAATCCTTGCCGCCAGCCACCTAATCTCCGCTCCTGATTCCTTTTCCCACAACTTAATTTCCCCATACCAATCCCTCCCTCACCCGCCGACCCCAACCCCTAGCCTTTGGCTTAACTGCTTTCTCCTTCATCCTTGGGTTTCTTGATTTTGTGAATGCAATTTGGAAATAATTTGAAATTCAAATAATCTAAAAATAGAATTTCAAAATTCTTTCCTAACTTAGTTCATCTATTTTAGGAAAGTACTTAATTTAAGTAATTTTGAATTTTAAATTCAAATTGGATTTAATTTATTGCTTTCCTAATTCATAAAACTAAATTAAGGAGCCTTAATCCCCCCCCCCCTCCTACTCCTTACCTCATGTATGTCACCGGCCCCCCTATAGGGAAACTTGGGATTTATTTCCTAACTCCCCTCTAACCCCTCTTGGAAGTTTTTCTAAATATTACCCCTCCCCCTTGGTCGAATTTTATCAAATCCCCTTGCTCCTAATTTATTTCCTAAAACCAAATATTGGATTTGGAAAATAAATCTCCACTCCATCCTCATGATGCCGTCGGCTCCCTCTCTCTACCCGCCCCCTCTCTCTCTCTCCCCCAAATCTCCCACTCTCTCATTAACTCCTCATCGGAATTTAGGAATTGTGATTTCCCTCTTGATTTCCCATCTTCCACTTTCAAAATTTTGAAACTAATTTCAGATTTTGGAAGGGAAATTACTCCTTGGCTCCTACCCCTTTCAAGTTGAAGAGAAACTTCTTTCTTCTCAGCAGTTATCAAGAGTGCTAGAAATCCTTGGGAAGACTTCGTCATCTAGATTTTATGGATGGCTGATCCAAAAACTGAATACGGCCTCTCCTACAACGAGCATGGGTTTGTGTGCATCTTACATTCAACTTTCTTCAACATCAATTTAAGGATCGACCACATAATGTAAGATTACATCGAGTGAATCTTGGATACCTTGGTGGAAGCCATCGAAGAGAAATTGGAGTTCGTCGAGTGGAGGATTGCCACCGATCCTTGATGAAGGTTTCCTACGTTTCCCTTTCCTCTTATTTCTTGAATCTAACTTTTCTCGTTGTTTGATTGTAGTCACGAAGGACGACCGTCGCCTGCTTATGCTAAGCTTAGTAAATGTAGGATTTTTAGCATATTCATGTGCTTGCTAATCTCGTTGTTAAACTAGGGATTTTTTTGAATCTACTATTCTGGCATGATGTTGTTTTCTAATGTATTTTAGAGTTTTAAATCGCTTGTTATGTGATTTAGCCTAAGCGGGCATGACCCCTCTTACGTTTTATTCCGTTGTTTTAAATGCTTATAGTTTTTGTTGCTATTCTATAATAAAGAGTTGTGCAAGATCTTAATAAATTCATTGCATCCATACGTAGTTCTTCATTAGGCTAACCTTCATAATTTGAGTTTACCTTTAACTCTCTCTAATCTTATCAACAAGAAGAATATCATCAGCAAAAAAAATACACCAAGGTACAACCTCTTGTAAATGTTTGTTGAGAACATCCATGACTAAAGCAAAAAAAGATACGAGCTTAAGGTAGATCCTTGTAATCCAACTGAAATAGGAAAATACTGGATCAAAGCACCTTGTGTTTGAACACAAGTAATAGCTAATGCATACATATCTTTAATGATTTGAATATGATTATTATTATATATTTTCTTTTCAAGAACTCTCCATAGCACTTCTCTTGGAACTTTATCATATACTTTCTCCAATTCAATGAATATCAAATGTAGATCCTCCTTATTCTCTCTATATTTCTCCATCAAACCTCTTAATAAATGTATGGCTTCTATAGTAGACCTACCGTCATGAATTCAAATTGATTTTGAAAAACATTAATTTCCCGCCGCAACCTATGCTCCATAACTCGCTCCCATGCATAATTTTAAAGTATGACACATTAACTTAATTCCTTAGTAAAAAATAGAGAGAAAATCTTAATTTTAATTTCAATTTTTCTTTGCAAAATAGAGTTTTGAGTGCTTTTAGATTTAAGAATTACACTAAACTTAGTGTAAATTTAAATCAAATTTATGAAGCATATTAGTCATGACAAGTAATAATTTATACATTGAGCATGAGTGTAAAAAAAAAAAGAAAAGATATTAAGATAATGAAAAGCGACTTGCATATAAATTTTTGTTGTCTAATAGCGTCTATCTTGATAGTAACAGAAATATAAACAAAGCAACTATAATGGTAAATGGTAAATAGTTTGCAACAAGCTTGAGAACGAAATTGTTTAATAGAAAAGTGCTATGTTCTTATTCCCTAGAAAACTACATAGATAATGTTTCATAACCAAGATACCACATTTCATAGGATAGCATACTTTTGGCCTTTAGCGTTATGCTTCTTGGACTCCTCATATTACTTCCTAATCTCATTCAAATCCTCTTCAAGCTTCTGAATCACCGCATCCTTCAATGATTCTCGGCCAAGGCTTTCAGCATCTAGCCGAGCAGCTTGATCTTCAACCTCTAGTCATGTAGCTCGCTCTTCACCCTACAATATAACAGATGAATTATTTAAATGGGTTTATTTATGTTTCTAATTACATATTTGTTTAATTTAGTCTTGTGATTCCTTAAATATGATTTTAAATAGTCCCTCCTTCGAATTATTTTGGATCATATATGAAGAGCCAAACCAAATTTGAGTAGCTCAGGGACTAAATTGAACTCATTAAATAGTTTGGGACTAAATAATCTAGGAACCATTTTGGATTTTTTCATTGGCAAAATCTATGCAAATATTCAAGAAAAAAAACTAAGAAAATTCAATAAAATATAAATGTATAAAAAATACATAACAATTTTATTCCAGCTCAATCAATCGATGACTATTACATATTTTGACCTTATGATTTCTACACCTTTGTTACCTTCTCATCCGAACCCCTCTCACATAGCCACTGTGTAACTCCTAATTGCTTGCCTAAAATAATATTGTTGCCACAATAGTCAAGCTCAATACAAGATAATCTCCTTCCTCATATATATGGATATCCCTACAGCTAATATTAATGCATAGAGAAAAGAATGAATATAGCTTACAACTGCTTTAAATCCCTCTCAGGCAAGATATGATTCTCATCAAGTTATCTTTAACTATATATATATATATATATAAATATATATAATAGTCTAGTCTTTCACACAAAAATAAGACACAATGAGATCAACTATCACTTCAATCAACTAGATAAATTCTTGGGCATTGTAATTTATTATTTAATTTTATAGGTTCAAACTTTTAACATCACCACAAAAGGATAACTTGAGGCATCTCAATCTAGATCATCAACTAGAGGAGAGTTAATAAAACAAAAATTCAAAATTACCATTCTCACCCTACAATTTCTACTCCTACGGTGACTTGTCATTCCAAACCCTCTATAAAACCTCTAGGAAAATAAATTTGCTAGCCTAAAAAATTATTGCTATATCTAAAAGTCTCCTTCCTCATATATATACATATATATGAGGAAGGAGACTATTAGATATAGTAATAATTTTTGTAAATCTTAATAATTTCTTTTTTAAAAAAGAATGCATAACATCGAGCTACTATTTATCTTTGTTGGTCAAGTTTGTATTGTACACCTTTAATCATATTTCAACCCTAATGATTAAGATATAGAACACTACAACCCTTCTTATAAAGACAAATATAAGGCAACATAAATATAATAAAATATTTAAAACACTTTTACTGAAATAAATATAAATATTTGAAAACTTTCATGGGCTCTCTGCCCCCCTTCCAAAACTTACAATGGATTCACCACAAAGGTCGACCTATGACTAAGCCTACTTGAGGTGTTTTGTTTGTAGGCCCAAAACTAAGACTCCACAACTTAACTCATTGTTGCATTAAGACTAGTGCAACTATGAACCTTGGAAACATAAAAAATGATATAGCTTAATTACTTAAAAGAGCTTAATATCTCAATTACACGCTTCTATTGATCATCATATGATTTAATGTTCACTTATATAAGTTCAGATAACTCCTCTTTATAACATCCTTATTTAGCTTCAACTTCTTTAACCTTTTGGTGCCGAAGTAAAGCTCCTTCCTAATGAAAGCTATACATCACATGAAGTATCAAACATTTACATCTACCAGTACAACTACTAATTATAAAGTATGAACCAAGGAGATGACATACCTTGTGTTTTGCAAAAATCTTATTTAAATATGGTTTTCCACCATTGTCCACAATAACAGACTCAACAAGAGAGAGTAGCTCATTGACTTGTTCCTCTCTCTTGATCATATCCTTGGTGGTATTATCAAAAACGATTACTCTATTCTTGCATAGTTGAATGATATTCTGCAAGAAAATTATCAAAGATAGAAAATAATTATACCAGATGAAAGGAATAAAAAATAAGTTTAAAGATTTAAATTGACCAGATTCATTTAACTAGTTCATCTTTGGAATAACAAGATTTGTTCTAAACTATATATAAGTCTATTTCCAATAACAACATAAATTTTGTGATGAAATAATTAAATTCACCTAGCTAGCATCAAAATTCAATTCCTAATAGCAATGTTAATCATAACCAATAATAAACATATATTTCTAATACATGGATCAACCAAGATAGTAATAACATTTAGTTTTTGAAAATGTTCTTGCAACCAATGGCAAAATTATGTTTCTCTAACGTAACATGGACTAATGAAGAGGAAATGTACACCACAATTTTGAAATGTGGGTTTGGTCAATCAATCTGATTAATAATTTTAGCTTTAACTAATAGGATTTAAAAAAGCAGTGTGCAAGCTAAATATAGTGAAACATAGGCATAGTTTGTGTGAACAATTAGAAACAAGATTCATAAATTTGAAAAGATAATAATTGTTGCATGTATTAGAAAACAATATACAAGTACATAATTATTTTAAAAATAGAACAAAAAATATCAACCCTTTAACTATTTATGAGAGCCATTTTAATCCCATACTTTCTAATGTGTCAAATTTAGTCCCTTGATTACTTCAATTTGATCTAAAATTAACCTTGGACTCCTCAAATCAGACTCATAACTAATCCAACAAAAATAACTTAAAGCAATGGCTTCCAAGACAATGTGTTATAGTATGTTACATAAACAATTAAGTAATGTCTTGCTATTTTATGCATCATGCCTTTGTTATTATCTATTAAGCATTAATATAACATCTCACAATCATGGCGTAAGTTTGATTTTACATGTAGCAATGCTTCTTGCCCTTAAGAAAGTCTACAGACAACATGCTCAAGAAGGAAATTAATATTATAAAAAAAATGATACAAACCCTCAAACATTTTGGCAATCAATACTATAAAAAGATAGATACAAACCCTCAAATATTCTGGAAAATGGCTAATATAGTCCTTCAAGCTTTTCTTTTTAGATTCCAGGATGTCCCCATTAGTGAAAACTAGAATCATGTAGTCAACAATCTTATCCCCAAAAAGTGATTTAATGCTCTTAAAGGTAGCCTCCTCCCCTATTGAAAACTTAGATCTAAGGGACAATACCATGAGTACTGCATGAATACCATCCTTGACTAAATTCATGCATTTGACTATCTCCCCACTTATTACCTCAGCACTAGTACAACAATCGAACAACCCTACAAAGAAATTCATGTCCAAAGTTAAGTTATTAGCATACTACTGATATTCTAATCCATACCAATAAAGAAAGGAATTTAAAATTTTCTATAATATATTTCGTAAGTTAGAATCATAAGCAGAAAAAGAAGTTGAATCGCTAAATATAGTGCCTCAATACAATGTCAATCGATATGCCAATGCATAACTTCAAATAAATAACAAGAAACAAACAATCCTATTGAAACGTACTTCATCCTCTAAATTTTAACTATCTTGCAAAATGGTAGAGGGAAACCTGTCAAGCTTGAACTTAATGCATTAGGGACTGACTGTAAGCATAAGCCAGTTGCATAACAGCAAAACCAAATATAAACCCACAAATTTCCATTTGCAATATAATTTATCTAAAATTCCCACTTCAATGCTTCTATGAGGAACATAATGGAAAAAAATTAATGTATGAAATAATAAATGGGAAAACTTAACAAATGCATGCTCTTTCCACAATGTCTATTGCATTGTGAAATCTTAAATTTCCACTACCTTATGATTGAAAGGTAAAACATGTGGAAAATACAAAGAAATATATTCCAACCTCTAAATAACCTTAGGCTGGGTTTACAAAAGAAAAAACCTAAGTAAAGCCCAAAATCCACCCCAACTAGATTAGGGACATTAAAAAATAATATATTTTAATATAAAACAATTTATTTCATATATATTATTGTTGCTAGTTGAAAATGATTTCAATACCAACAAAGTTTGGGTTGATGGATCATCTAGAACTTGGCACTATGTCCTGCACAATCAACTAAAGCAATTCAATGATCGGGGTAGGAGATGATTAAGAGCTTAAACCAATTCAATGGAGATTAAAGAGTGGAAGTGTAGAGGAAAGATAGAGAGGCTAAAAGTAGCTTGAGAAAGCCCTTGACCTTGCCCACTTGAGGGGGTATACATAAGCATTTGGACAATGGGCATTTTGTATCTTGGTAGGGCGTATAGTGGTTCTAGAAGTCTCATGTCACCTTCGAGATCTATTATAGATGAAAATACTCCTCAATTGAGGGTGTTTTGGTCATTTGATTGATAGAAGAATGAATAACTAAGCCTATTAATATTAAAACTCATGTTACACCATCATGCCCCTAATAATGATGTATAGATTGATTGACAATTTGAGATTAATAGGTTTTTGGAAATATAAACCAGACTATTAGATTAATATCATTAATTTAAATAGGATGATCAAATTAATGCTATATGGAAAAACTGCATCAAAGATAATTAGAGGTTGGCACAAACCTTGATGTCATCCAATAGTAAAAGAGCTAAAAGGACCATCATTAAGTAAAACCCTTATTATATGAATATCTTTGAAGCACAAACATTGGCATCCTTGATTGAATGGTGAAAAGTAATAGAGATCTATTTTTAAAGTCATATCAGTTGCCCTCTTATGTCTCGATTCTTTTGCAAAATTTCAAAAAATATGTTTTCTATTAAAAATATCATTGCATCACCAATTGTGTCTTAAATGTAAGGTAGGATGAACCCCCTTAACTACAACTACTTGCAAGGCATCAACGTATTCATTTGCTCAAGACTGTAACTCCACATATTACAAACACACATTATTTTTTTTTTACTTGGGTGAATTTTGAGCTACTAAAACAAAATCCTTGCTAAATTTGATGATTTTGAAACCAAAAATGAATTATTAAAAAAGAAAGATCATTAATTTTTTATCAAACTCATTTACAAAGTTAATAACCATCTTAAAACCTTTTGATTAAAGATCAACCAAATTTCATTTGTAGATTAAAGATGTATTATGCATGAGATTTAACCAAAAATTGCAAACTCAAATGATCATAAATAACTTAAGCAACCCTATTTCATAGCCTAGTTCAAGTGCACAATACCCAAGAGAGCATTTTGGATGACCCAAAACTCAAGCATAAGAGGCCCATGCAGTTTTTCATGAGCTTTTTGTAGCCATAAGGGATAGTACATTGAAACATTTATATCAAGCAGTATAATAAGTGTGCCTACTATAAGAAATTTATATGTTAAGCATCACCTTGGAGAGGAGAAATTGCTCCATAGGCAATTAATTTTTGTTTAATCATAAGATATAGTTGTGAATTACATTCTCTATGTAAAGCCTATTAATAATGCAATTCTCATCATTTCAATGAGCTATTTTTCTTCTACATGCGAAATGTTATGGATGAGTTTGGTCTTTAAGCATTCGACAAATATCCCCTACATAAGCTATTTATTTAATGTGTAAGTCGGTAGAATTGAACTTAATTGCATAAATTTCACCTAAACCTCCCTCGACATGTTCGCTTAGCATGCAAGGTTCTAGCACCAAGCTTGGTCGTTAAATTTTCATTCTAGACCCGAGCTGTATGATCTCTATTCAATGAGAGGAACATGTGGTGATCTCCATCTATAAAATATTCATATTTCAATAAACCCCCTTAAGGCATTATTCATTCAACAAGATGGCAATGGTGAGCTCAAGTGGTATCATTGTCCTTTGGTGTTGAGAAGTTTTCATATGTCTTATAGGCTCGTGTTGGCCTTACATATCCTTTGGAGTTGGGTAGGCTTTATGCAAATTTAGTTGGATGAAACAGATACAGAGTATTCTTCAACCAAGTATTAAAAAAGATATTATTTAAAGTTTAAAAGCTCAATGAAAAGCCAATTCCAAAATTTAAAAATTTTAATGATTTGAAAATACAACCAAATTATAATTCAAATTTTGTATTATTTTTGCACACAATTTTCAAATATAATTTAGTGAATGAAAATATTTTTTAAGCAAATTTTAAGGTGATAAAATCAAATTTTAACATGTATTCTTTGTTAGCTATTGGTCAAAACCTGCAAAGTACAACCTATGTGCCTCTAGGTCATCACAAATATTGTCAAACTTTAAAACATGTGGTATGAGCTCCATTGTATCTATCTTCAGTTATCTAAGATGACCATGGATACTTAAACATTTTGGTATGCATGCTTACCTTGCTATCTATCCTACAATAATGAGTTAAACAATCTTATTCCAATTATTCCTAAATATTGAATAAACATATTAGAACGTCCAATCACATGTTTTCAAAACAAATATGTTACATAGAGATAATGAGACAAGAAGAGAAAATTAGCTAATGATTGAGGAGAAAGGAAAGAGATGAGAGGAAATTGCAATTCAATTTACCTCCATAAAGCCCTAACACACCCTTATGTATATAAGGTCTTTAATTCATACTACAAATAACTTATCATAAAAATGTTGCGACCCATGACCCCGAGTTTGAGATTTTGATTATGACAAATAATGTCGCCTGAACTATTTTTTATTGAATATCATTTATTATTTGCTATTGTCCGTGAGTACTAACATTTCAGGAAGATTACAAGCCACTCAGGACAACGGGAAGACTCAAGACTGGTTAGATTAGGAGTATGAGTATGACAATATACTTTGTTATTTATTTTATTTTTTTTATTTTCTTGAGTCTGGCCACAAACTGCAGGTAAGTCTGAGCAATCATGCACACACACAGGGAGAGAGGCTTTTAAAAGTAAAAAATATAGTTTTTCTTTGTCTGATAATTGTACTGTACGATCATATATTGTAAAATGTGTTCTATGAACAAATCGTACTGTACAATGTGTTAATCCAAAACCCTAGCCATCACATTAACTTAAGTAAGTTATTCTCCGCCGTTCGTACTGTACGAAGACCTTCGTACGGTACGATCTATTTTAAATACTTACTTAATTTAACCCGTGATTAGTGCAAAAAATCAAGGCTTAATTACAAATTGAAAATCATACTGTATGAACACATTCGTATAATATGATGAACATAGATGAATTCTGATCGTTCTAGAGATCGTCCTGGATGATCCTTTGTTTTTGGCTCATCGTACTGTATGATGTCTATCGTACCATACGATAAACAGAGATGACATTTGATCATCCTGGAATTCATTCTGGACGATGCCTTGATTTTAACCTTTCATATTGTACGATGTAGATCGTACCATACGATGAACATATACGATATTTAATCGTCCCAACTATCGTCCTGTACGAGCAATAGTGTTGAGGATTATACCGTACGATTTAGTATCGTACTGTACGATTATTTTTTGCACTGTTCGTACACCTTCGTAACAGGACGAAGCCTATTTATACATATTGTATTGTACGATAAGAAATCGTACTGTACGATTATAACGGCTACTTTGAAAATTTCAGGGATTTTGGAGCCTGTTTTATGTGTAAAAAATGGTTATGTTTTTTAGAGAGACAAAAAGAGAGGAACGTGATTAGAGAGGAAATCCTTGGGATAGAGCTCTTGAGAAGTTTTAGGGGTTGAGAGAGGAAGGAGAAGGTGAGCTTGGTGAGGGAGAAGAGGTGTGAGGGAGATCACACGGTTACTCCGATCTTACTGCATCTTGCTCCTCCTGTGGCCCGGGAAGAACTTATGGGAGGCTCTCTAAGGGGGAGACTCTTCTACATCCATGACCTCGAAGGTACTATGCCTTCTCCAGGAGGGAGAAAAATGAGAAGGTTCTCTGCCGTCACTAGGAGGATGAAAATAGCGCTTGGCACTCCGCCATGCCGGGTTGGTGAAAGGGAGTATTGTAAGGGCTTCTCTGCCTTGCCGAGGGGGGCAAAAGGAGAGTTATAGTTTGTAGTGAAATTCCATAGAGGAGGACTCCGGGGAGTGGATGTAGGTCACTGGTTTGACCGAACCAACTATAAAAACCGGTGTGCTTTTTCCTTATCGCTTTTTATTTTTGTGTGCATTTTTATTTTCATAATACTTGCTTGGTGAAAACTTGTGAAAGAAAAAAAGGGATTCCATTGTTGCACGTTGAGTCAATTGTTTGCCTCGTAGTAGTTTAAATTTTCATGTTAAAAATTTAAAAACATCAAAAAAAAAAATTGAACTCCTACTTAGGTTTTAATTATTACTATAAAGTTTTCACAATTCACCCCCCTCTTGTCCATCTAGTAATTTCAAAAAATGCAAGTTCTAATATGTCTCTATTGCACATTAAACTAACATAAGAAACATAATTAAAACACTTATAAAAAAATGGACGCATAACTTAAAAAATGACTAAAATTCATTCAAATGATAAGCTCCATCATTTCACTCAATTCAATAGAAAATCTTCTTCAAAGAGTTGGAATGTGGTGGTTTTATGGTCATGGAAGCAATACCAGATCATGTACCTATGGAGGTGCACGTAAAAGTAGATAGTTATTGAAATCCGACATAAGTGGAAGTGGCCAACAACCATGAAAAACTAATGGAACCATTAGTGACTAATCAAACTATATAGAATTTGAAGGATTTAATGATAGAATTTGACTTATATCAGAAATCAAATCAACAACATAGGCAAGTATTCAATAACAATATGGTTTTGATGATATTGTCAATATGAAGTAAACCTATGAAAATGATGAGGCAGGTCATGAAATAGTGAATTAAATTGTGATGTATATAACAACCTTAATAGATAGTGGAGAATCTAAACATCATAATGTACTATGCCATTATGCATGAGCGCCAAGATGAAGCTAGAAACCAAATAAGAGGTTGAGAAACAACTTATACCACCACATATATAGCTCAAGGAGCAATAAAAATAGCATAAGGCTCTATAGACGCAAGCGAAACTCAATATATTTTATAATCTCCTGGCTAAATTTTGGGTCAATTTTAATATCAATAACACACACAAAGGCTATCATGAATACATCATCAGATATATGTATTAATACGACAAAGGTAGAAATTGTCTTTTATTTATTAGAAAGGTTACGGTAGAACTAAAAAGACTTGGCTAGAAAATATTAGAAATCGCATTTTTTATTAGATTTAAATGATAATTGGCTCTTAACACGACACAATGGAAAAAAAGATTCATGTAGCCAACCTCGGGGATAAAAGCTTGATGATGTTGTTGTATGTATATTATAATGCATATAAGATAATTTTTTCTATATTTAATTGAGTTTTTAATGAATATTAAAAAAAAATTAAGCTTTATAAGATATTTGAAATAAAAGATTCAATTAAAATATGCATAAAAGTTAAATGAATGCATGGCCAATAAGCTTTTTAACAATGATGATTCAATCAAAATTATTTTGAAATTAAAATATAAGAGCTTAAAGATAGGATTGAAAGAACCACTAAAGAGACATTTATTTTGCCCCATGGGAGTAGTTACAAGAATTCCCAAGAAGAGCATTTAAATTTTTTGATGAGTCATATTCTTCATAAATAAGCTATGTCACATTTAAGATTTATATTAGGCAAAAGGCTCCTTATTACGAGAGTATTATAATCCTAGGAATGGTTAAATGGTGGAGAACCAAGCTGAATCTTCTTTGAATTTTTTGTTGTTGATTATTCCCACTTACTTTAATAGTATGTTGCCTCTATGACAAAAAATTGATGAAGTTAAATAGCTAAATCAAACAAGTGGATTTATAATGATTACTCAAATTGATGATGATGACAATCTTAATGAAGGGTGCAATTTATGGTAATATCATTATTTTCTGTTAAATATACTTCATTAAAACCATTCGAAGATAAGAAAAATCTTGGCATGACGTGAAAGTTAGAGGACTATCATCAAGATCAACTCTAACTGGGAAAATATTAGCGTATTATCACTCCAAAATATATATTTAAGCAAAGTATACAAAAATTGATAAATCAAACAAATTATATTTTGAGAGTTGTAGATTATTTCCTATGGAGAAATAAGTAGATAAAACTTTAGCAACAAGGGAGATCACCAAAATGAACTGCTACTATATATAACTATCAAACCTTAACCATGATGCTTAGTTTCTAACATTGTATAGTTTGATTTCACAAAATCATACCCCCAATAACCTACTTTATGATGTGGGGAGAAAAATAATTAGTCAGGCAAGTGAAATGTTAAGTCCAAGATAAATTTATACCTTCATGATGATGTGGCGGCAACAACCAAAACACAAAAATTTCTTCCTTTTTTCCTCTCTTAACTTTTTTTTTTCTTCTTCTTTATTTTATTTTCTCTTCTTTTCATCTTCTTTTTTTTCTCTTTTTTTGAATTCTTTTCTCTTTCTTTTTTTTATTTATTTATTCTCTTCCTTCGTTCTTTCTTATACTATATTATACATAAATATGTATATATTATAGAGAGAGAGGTGAGAGAAAATGGTGGCTATCAGATTTGAAGTGGATTAGGAAAGGATATGAGTTTGCTATTGATTCAGGTAGGAAGAGAGGGAGGCAGCTGGTGTAGTGTGAAGCTGAGGGGTTCAAGTGGAGTTGGAATCACGAGATCTACGCAGGATTTTTGGCAGAGAGGAACAAGACATCTCCACGCTGTTTTGTAGAATTGCGACAGGAAATCAGGATGGGCAACGGATTTCAGCAGAGGAAATAATTTTTTTTTCTTTTTTATCTTTGGAGGACAACAACATTTAACATTCAACATTTAATTGTTTCAGTCCTATGGAATTTGTTTTCAACCTTTTAAGAGAAATTGTTGGTTTCAATTAATTAATTTAAATAAAGAAATTAAATACAAAACATGGTCGTGAGTCGGGAAATGAATTCATTAAAAGAACCATGCATTTCCCTTTACATGTGCGCATGGATAAAGGACCATGTTCATTACTACAGCCAATAAAGAGATGTAAGTGACTCATTTCAATTCCTTTTGGTTGTCATGCTTAATTAACATAGTCATATATAAATTCAAAAACTTCCTGCTCGCAACCTCTTATTTGGTTTCTAGCTTCATCTTGGCGCTCATGCATAATGGCATAGTACATTATGATGTTTAGATTCTCCACTATCTATTAAGGTTGTTATATACATCACAATTTAATTCACTATTTCATGACCTGCCTCATCATTTTCATAGGTTTACTTCATATTGACAATATCATCAAAACCATATTGTTATTGAATACTTGCCTATGTTGTTGATTTGATTTATGATATAAGTCAAATTCTATCATTAAATCCTTCAAATTCTATAGAGTTTGATTAGTCACTAATGGTTCCATTAGTCTTTCATGGTTGTTGGCCACTTCCACTTATGTCGGATTTCAATAACTATCTACTTTTACGTTCACCTCCAGAGGTACATGATCTGGTATTGCTTCCATGACCATAAAACCACCACATTCCAACTCTTTGAAGAAGATTTTCTATTGAATTGAGTGAAATGATGGAGCTTATCATTTGAATGAATTTTAGTCATTTTTTAAGTTATGCGTCCATTTTTTTATAAGTGTTTTAATTATGTTTCTTATGTTAGTTTAATGTGCAATAGAGACATATTAGAACTTGCATTTTTTGAAATTACTAGATGGACAAGAGGGGGGTGAATTGTGAAAACCAGTATATCATGATAATGTTATCTCATGCACTAAACTGAAAGGTACAATTACTGTAAAAAGAGTAGACAAATTTCAAAGAACTTGAAGTCATTTTTCCACAAGATAAACAAAACCTAATAATTTAAGTATTCAAGTTGTGATGGAATACAAATAATATTCTAAAATAAAATATTTATTAATATATATGCATTGCTTGAACTTAATGAATATTCATATATTAATAAAGTAATGGATATTACCTGGAGTGTCTATAACATTGACAATACGATCATCATTCAGAATTGTTCTTTGTAGCTCAGAAAAACGAGTTACTAGGAAACAACCAGCATCGAAAATAAAGGCTTCCCTTCCAAGAATACTATTTCCAGTTGCACTCTTGCCATTGCCAGTCCTCCCAACAAGGACAATATTAATAGTGTTACTTGCAGTTGTCAATTCCCAATCATTAATTGGATCAACCTCCATTGTGTACGACTAAACAAAATGAAGAAAAAACTTAGTAAATTGATCAAAAGTTGAAAAGTTGAGTCTATAATATAACATACTAAATGAATAAGCAGACTTAATGATATATTATTAGGATTCACATGTGATAAACTCATTTAAAAGTTTGTATTTTTTTGTGAGTGCCTTTTTCATAGTTCTCATATTTGATTATTCCTATCCTTTATCGAAAAACCATGTCTTAGCTTTTGGATTTATTGCAAGACACTATAAGTAGGCCTAGACTTGGCTTTTTTGACAACCAAATTTACTAGAATTGTAAAGTGTGAACAATTGGCGAGGAGCCATGCTAAAGGCAAGTTTCTTTAATTAGCTTGTATGAAGAAAAATCTAGTAAGCTATATTGATAAGAACTTCTTAGTCCACTTTGGCAAGTACTCTTGAACGAGTAGTCATAACCTTATGATGAAGGCATGGACAAGTAAGCATTTTTGTTGGAGAATCCAATAGTTTTGTACTAAGAGTCGTTCCAGGTTAACTCTTGGGTAAGTTTATGAGATCTAATCATGAGCAGTTTGAGACTTTCAAGCAAGTTTAGATTTGGTTCTTGGTCAAAAAATTTGTTGAATTGGGTTCAAGCTATAGAAATGACTCCACTAACTTGAATATGGATGTACAAATACAATCTCCGGCCATTATATTGAGCCAAGCAAAAAACCACTTCATGCCTCATTTATTTGCTTCAAAATTGAAAACATGATTTGTAATAAAATAATTTTCTTTTCTTTCATTATGATTATGCATGCAAAAATAAAACCATAACATTTAGGAGGTTCAGAGAAGGATTTTTCATGTTCGAAATTAATGTTATTTTTTAACTGCTCGACTAATGATTCTTGCAAAATAAGTATTTGCTTACTTTCGATGGCTTGAGTTACTCGGTAAAGCCCGGAGAATGGAGATGGGGGTAACTTGATGCTTATAATCACAAAGAAGATGTACAAAGCAAGCCTTTTGGAATGCCGAACATTTACTGCGAGGAGAGAAACGTGCAAATCTATACTATTTTTATAGGCTTGAGTTTCCTTCCATGTCAGGCCTTTTATTTTAATTAATTTTAATTATTCTAATAAAATCCTAACTTTCCATTTCAATTATTATACTTATAATTATTTTATTAATGCAAAATATACTCTATTAATTACTGAATCATTGTAATAATTTATTAATTACCATCTATCTATCTACTTATAAATGAGATTTGAGTTTAATTCTCTATCGAATCTTGGCCTTTCATTTTAACTAATTTTAATTATTCCTCAAAACCTTTCATTTTAATTATTATAATTATTTTATTAATATCCAATATTCTGTGTTAATTACCTGATTATTGTAATAATGAATTCATCAATTGCCATCTACTTATAAAAGGGAATTGAATTTCCTTCCATATCAATCGTGGCATTCCATTTTAATTATTCAAAGCAAATCATAGTCTTTCATTTCAATTATTATAATATAATTATAGTTATTGACTTATTTCATTAATGTGAAATATATTCTATTTATTACAGAATTAATGTTGATTAATTACTAAATTGTTGTAATAATTATTCATTAATTAATTGCCATCAACAACCCTTATTCCTATCCCCGCGAATTTTTAAAAGGAATCGGTTTGATGTAGGATTTAGGAGGAGGGACACATTATAATTTTAATTTAAAAAGGATCAAAGGCGCACTGCAGAATTGCGTTTTGTCCGAAAACGCAAAAAAAAAAAAATTGCATTTTAATGGCAAACATAAACAGTAATTGCGTTTTCCATTAAAATGCATTTTTTTTTGTGTTTTCAATTCATTACTGTGCCAATATTTTTTAAAATTATTTTTACAAATATCGTTATAATAATATTAGTTTATATAGAAGTAAAAATGATTATTTTTACAAATAAATATAACATTTTCATTTTAATTTTTATAACTTAGACGTGTTTATAAATTTAAAATATTTATCGTCTAATAGTTTTTTCTTCTAATGCCAATCTAGTAATGTCAAACTAACATTTCTGTTAATTAATGTAATTTAGTATATCTTGAAAATTAAAATTAATAAATTTTAGAGGTGCTGAATATTGAAAAAATAATTTTATTTTTTCGAGTATAACATTACACAATAAATTAAACTAAATCATCTAATTAAAATATAAACAAATCGAAAAGAAATTTAAAAACTATAACAGATAGAGTAAAAATGTTATTTGAAGCTAATAAAAAATTACTAATCCAGATCGCTGTACTTTTTTTTTTTTACTTAAAACACAAAACTTATTTGCATTTTCAGAGAAAATGTAATTAAAGTTTTTAGTAACGTTATTATATCGTTATATTTATTTGTAAAAACAATTTTTCCTTATAATAAACTTATGTTATTATAATGATATTTGTAAAAATAATTTAAATAAATATTGGCACAACAATGAATGAAAAACACAAAAAATTGCATTTTAATAGAAAAAGCAGTTATTGTTCACGTTTTCATTTAAACACAATTTTTTTTTTTTTGCATTTCATGCAAAACCCAATTCTGTAGTGCGTTTTTTATCCTTTTTAAATTAAAATTATAATGTGTTCCTTCTCCAAAATCCAACATCAAATAGGTTCCTTGCCCTTCCTATTCCATCTTCGGCATCTTCATACCTCTTTGCCTCCATCCACACTACCAAAAATCAACCTTTTCGCATCATTTGTTTGCAGCAGTCATGAAACCTCTTCCAAAACTCATCTTTTGCATAAGCTAAAACCGCCGGTAAAGCCCCCTAACATTCGAGCTTTTCTTCTCACGCAGTTATTACTAGCAGTTTAAAAACCAGTGCTATAGGTTATAACCGCTACAAATCATCACATTTGCGGCGGTTATAAGTGCTGTTAAATCTATCACTTCATCAGATCTACCCCCGCCAGTCCATAAATCGCTGCGGAATATCGTTGCAGCGCATTGCAATTACAGCGGGGGTGCAGCGGTTTTAAAATCGTTGCAAAGAAAATTGTGGTGGTTATAATCGTCGGGATAAGCTAAAATTGTGTTGCGATAGACCTATTTTTTGATAGTGCCATGATGTTAGGGCTTTCATACATTGAACTCACCGGTTGTTCCCTCTTCAGCATCTTCAGACCTCTTAGTCTCCATGACGTTAGGGCTTCTCATTGGCTCAACTCGTTGGCTCTTCAACTTCTAACTTTCCTTCTTCCCATCTGCTCTCAACTTCATCTCCATCGCTTCACATTCGAAACTCTTTAATGATAGTAACCACTCTTCTTCCTCTATCATCTCGACTTTTTTTTTCTGCCTTTAACCATCTGAAGGTGAAATGAAGAACTCACCCAAATCACAACTGTGATTCATTTCAATTTTTGCATATCCATCCATGTCATTACCAATCCCACTTCTCAAACCCTTCGTACACCAGTATACCTAACATTCACTGTAAATGTTGGAAGAAGAAACATCATAAATGTTCAACGACTAAATCGCAAACGGTTGGCGTCTTAGAGGTTAAATCGACAACTTTACTTCTGGTACATAAAAGATTGGGTATTTCATTGTAGGCATGCTTATCTAAGGGCAGCTCAAGGTGTAACATACTTTCGACATCATTTCGCTCATAGACCTTATTGTAAATATCAATTATATTAACTAGAACTATTTGTATCATGTTGGATTTGATATTTTATTTTCTCTAACTAAACTCTTCCACCATGTTATCAAACTTCAAGCTTGAAAATGCCTTTATGCATCTTCTTTAATTGAAAGATTTACTATTTGAATTTGAATCTATATTGAATGCCATTTTATTTTGGTTTCTATCGCATTAGAATTGAATAAATGTATTTGGATATCCACTTGAATATATGCATCAGTTCAGGATATGTGTCTAAGATACATAAGGTTGGTTCTAATTGGATTTCTTGGAACATAATTGGTGGAAGTATTTAGATAGAGAAAATACCTCTATTCTTAATAATCAGTTTATTAAATTTTTTGTTGCAAGGCATAATTTATGTTGTGATTGATAAATGACGCAATGTGACTAAAAAAGCACTGCGTCGAAACAATAGTAGTAACAATTGTTGTAGTGAGAATGTGTTCTATTACAAGATGTTATTGTTGAGGTTCTTAATATTAAATGTTGTTGGTTTTTGCATTTAATTTACTATTTTTATAGTAGATGAAGCCTTTTAAGCGCATTCTTGGCCTCTGAAAATTCTAAAATAGTATTATGGTCTATCTGAAGTTTGTGAAGGATAAATGTAGTTGTTATAAAAATAGGCCTCAGAGTTCACAGGCATGCATGTTGAATTGACCATTGATTAATTTAGGAAACAAGTTACCTTTTGCACTTCTCTGATCCTAATCATAAGCAAAATCACTTGTTTTTTTTTTTTAAATTTTAGCGCAACATTATGTTTTTCTTATGTAAAATTTTTGTAATTTATACTATTTCTTGAGGCACAAAAACGTTTTGATTGATTGACATATCATGGCCCATTTTCTTGTCCGCTTCTCTCTCTCACTCCATCTTTTTCTTCCTAATTCCTTTGACATGTTAGTAACAATCTATCATTCATGCTTGCCTTTTGTTTGAATGCAAATGTTTTTGTTACACTATTTTTCGGTAAGAACGTGGTGCTTGGAGCAATTGTTAGGAGTTTAGAGCAATTTTTGTGCCATTACCAAATCCATCTTTATCATGAATAGTTGGTTTTAAGTTGTTTCTTTTCATCACTTAAATTCTTTCTACTTGTTTATCCTAGTTGGTTTTGACACTTAAGAAATGCACTCATGGGTCCCACAAAAAAAAACAACCTATATCATAGCATGTTTTTTTTTTTTTAAACAAGCTATTGTAGTTTGATCTTGACCTGAATGTGACTTGCATAGTTCGTTCATCCCAGTTTGGTTGTTACTATCAATTCAATTACTTTTCAACAAAAAAAAAAAATTTGTGCTTTGGGGAATATAATCATTTGCAATGCATTATTGGTCACTGTGGGTATCCCAGATCAATCCAGACCTCAAATCAATCCCGACTCCAATTCAAACCTGATCTCAATTCAATCCAGTTCAGACTCCAAACTTCAGCATGTATCATACCTTTGATCTAACATCAATCCTATCCAATCAATTATGATCATTCAAATGATCATGAAGGATTTAGATAATTCAAATCCAATCAATCAAGCTCAAAATCCAGACCAAATCCAAAAATCCAGACTCAAAACCTAAGTCCAAGGGCCTTGTCCTAAAGGCCTTTTCCAAGGATTTTTCAAACATTTCAAAGCCCAATCAATTGACCTCCGATTCAAAGTCTGTCATTTGCATATTGATGGGACATGTCTCTGGAGGCAACCCTCCAAATTTGATCCCATTCTGAGGTCTCTAACCCCATAAACTTAATCAAAATTCAAAGGCTGTAAAACCTTCAAATATTTACAGTCCATGCCACTGCACTTGCCATTAAGAAGATTTTGATCTTAGAGCTTTCTCCAAAGCCTCTAATCACCTCCAGACCCTTGATTATGATTCATTAAACATTAAACTGCATTTTTCTAGACCTATTTTGACCCCTAGTTGACCAGGGGTCAAAATGACCAAAATACCCCTTTGGGGTTCAAATAGGGATTTCAAACCAGATGAACTTCGAATTGAACGCAACCACTTCCAGCAAGTTTCAAATATCAAACCCAACCTGTCGAACCCATTCTTAGGCCCTGGGTCAACCTGGTTGACCAAGTCAACTGAGTTGACCTAAGAGGCCCTCTGAGGGTCCAAACAGGCCAAATGACCTCTTTGAGCCATGAAACCACTTCTATTGGTAACCAAAAATTATTTCAAATTGATTGAGCCCATTTCTAGACCCTGGGTCAACCTAGTTGACCAAATCAACCTAGGTTGACCAAAATAGGCCCTTTAAGATCAAAATAGGCATTTTGACCAAATTGACCTTTCCAAACCATAGAACCACCTCCGATAGACTCAAAACATCAAACCAAACTTGTTGAGCCCAAACTCGGGTCCCGGGCCAACCTGGTTGACCAAGTCAACCTAAGTTGACTTAAATGCCCTTTAATGTTTAAATAGGTTATTTTAACATATTCAAACCATTCAATCCCTTTCAATCCTCAAATCACCCCCACTAATTCAAACACTCTCACATGCCATGTCATCAGTCAATTTGACTGGTTGACTAGTCAACAAGTTCACTTGAAATAGGCTTAAATGCCCATTTGGCTTGACTCAAGCTAGCTCAAACCTTACCAATCCACTCATTTCTATTCCAACAGCTCTAATCTCTTCTAGAGACTTTCTAGGCTGTATATTAACCTTTGGATCAATGTCCAATGGTTTGGATGACTTCCACATGGGCAAATGAGGATAAGACCACCTTTCTATGTAGGTGTCCTTGCATTTGTCCTTGGCTCCTGCTCTAACCAATTTCTAGGCCAGATGGCATGCATCAAGGAGGCTTCCAAGTCAATCATAGCCATCCAATTGGTCAAGATATTTTGAAAAAAAAAAGAAGGGGTTAAAAAGAGGAGATTCATTCTAATCCAAAAATTAACAAAACTTATCCATCTCCAAAGCTCTCCCATCCTTTAAGACTCCTCTTAGAGCTGCTCCAGACTAATTCCTAGCTTTCCCAAACTGTTTTACATCAAATCCAAGTCTCCAAAACACTCATTGGTGAAGAGAGAGAGGATCAGGAAATTTTTTAATAACTCCAAATCCAAAAAGATCCAGCTCTTGGAGTATTCACCAAAGTTGAAGAGGACATCTTCATGTTTCCATCAAGCCCAAGAAGTCAAAAATCCATCAGCTAGATTGTAAGTTATTTAAGTTTTAAGTTTAAATTTAAAATTGAAACGGTAGAAAATCTACAGTGCATGGAGCCTTCAAATTCCATACATTGGAAGATTATGTTACCATCAATCTATGTTTCAATTTTCATCAAGTTTGGTTAAGTATTTTAGAAGATATAGGCATTTAAAAAACCACCAGTTTCGGCAGATCGGGACCGTCCGATTGATCATCGGATGGTCCAGATAAGATCTGGAACTCGCGCGCCTCACCTGGGATTCGAACCCGGGTCTCCTGGCCAGACCGCGCGGGTGATGTGGCGCCATCTGGGCGCTCGGATCGGATCCCGTTTGATCCGATCGGACGGCTGTCGTTCATGCCGACGTGGTTAAGTGACCACGCGGAATCACGCCACGTGTCAAGGCCGCGGCGCAGCGCCGCCGTCAAGCCAATCATTTCCAATGATTAGTTTGGCGACGCCGGCGGCCCGATTTGACTAAAATGATTTTAAAAATCATTTAAATGCCCAAAAACTTCTAAAATTCCTGGTAAATCCAATTTTTCACCAAAATTAGTGTTTTAGGGCTTGTTAAAAAGCTCTTGAGCTCTAGTTTTTATTGAAATTAAATTAAACATATTTTGATCACTGGTTTTTAAGAAATTTGAGTTTATTTGATATTCAATTTTCTCAATTTTCTTTCAATCCAGTGGTCAAATGATGTTAAAATTTTGGTGAGACAATTTTGAACATCTTAGGCATTATCTGTAATTTTTGTGGGGTGAATTTACAAAGTATTGGGTCAATTTTGGACCCAAAACTTTGGAAATTCATAACTCTCCAAAATAGTAGAATTAGGCTTCCTAATTTCTGTGGTGTGTTTGTGTATGGTTAATGGTTAGTTGAACAGAAATTTAGACCTAATTGAATACTAGTGCCACCTAGGAACAATAATTAAGGACAAGGTCTAGTTAACTTGAAAAAATCCTAGGAAATTCTACACACATCCAATAAGGGTGAAACTTGAACACAGTAAACCTAGTGACATTTCACACCTTAGGTTCAAATTTCATCCAATTTGGAGTTCATTAGGTCAGATAATTAGACAAGTCAAAGTTAACCCTTTAATTGAGCTTTAAAATTTCCAAAAATTACAATAAATCAAATTTAAATAAAAAAATTCAAACAAGACCTCTAACGGACTAGAATCATGTCCTTAATCAATGAAAATAAAAATCCCCTTGATCAGACATCAAATCATATCTTAATTTAATTTTAATTAAAAACCAATAATTAATTAAAATAAATAATAATTAAAAATTCCAAAAAAAATCTCAACACTTGATAATCTCTTCTTGAGTCATTTCTGACATTTAGAGTTGATTTCAAGGAGTTTGGAATTCATTTGGAGCAAAATCAAGAAAACCCTTCTAATTAAACAATTAAATGAATTCCATAAATACATCAAACTTTGAAAAATCATAACTAACTCTAGAAAACTCCAAATTGAACAAACTCACTTGCATTGCCAGATCAAATCCAGACCTCAACATCAATCCCGACCCATTCAAACCTGATCTTCAATTCAATCCAGTTCAGACTCCAAACTTCAGCATGTATCATACCTTTGATCTAACATCAATCCTATCCAATCAATTATGATCATTCAAATGATCATGAAGGATTTAGATAATTCAAATCCAATCAATCAAGCTCAAAATCCAGACCAAATTCCAAAATCCAGACTCAAAACCTAAGTCCAAGGGCCTTGTCCTAAAGGCGCTTTTCCAAGGATTTTTCAAACATTTCAAAGCCCAATCAATTGACCTCCGATTCAAAAGTCTGTCATGTTGCATATTGATGGGACATGTCTCTGGAGGCAACCCTCCAAATTTGATCCCATTCTGAGGTCTCTAACCCCAGAAATTAATCAAAATTCCAAGGCTGTAAAACCTTCAAATATTTACAGCCATGCCACTGCACTTGCCATTAAGAAGATTTGATTCTTAGAGCTTTCTCCAAAGCCTCTAATCACCTCCAGACCTTGAATTGTATGATTCATTAAACATTAAACTGCATTTTTCTAGACCTATTTTGACCTAGTTGAACCGGGGTCAAATGACCAAAATACCCCTTTGGGGTTCAAATAGGGATTTCAACCAGATGCTCCGAATTGAATGCACCACATTCCAGCAAGTTTAAATTATCAACCCAACCTGTCAAACCATTCTCAGGCCCTGGGCCCCAACTGGTTGACCAAGTCAACTGAGTTGACCTAAGAGGCCCTCTGAGGGTCCAAACATGTGTTTTGACCCAAATGACCTCTTTGAGCCATGAAAACCACTTCTATTGGTAACAAAATTATTCGTACACCAGTATACCTAACATTCACTGTAAATGCTGGAAGAAGAAACATCATAAATTTTCAACGACTAAATCGCAAACGGTTGGCGTCTTAGAGGTTAAATCGACACTTTACTTCTGGTACATAAAAGATTGGGTATTTCATTGTAGGCATGCTTATCTAAGGGCAGCTCAAGGTGTAACATACTTTCGGCATCATTTCGCTCTTAGACCTTATTGTAAATATCAATTATATTAACTAGAACTATTTGTATCATGTTGGATTTGATATTTTATTTTCTCTAACTAAAGTCTTCCACCATGTTATCAAACTTCAAGCTTGAAAATGCCTTTATGCATCTTCTTTAATTGAAAGATTTACTAATTGAATTTGAATCTATATTGAATGCCATTTTATTTTGGTTTCTATCGCATTAGAATTGAATGAATGTATTTGGATATCCACTTGAATATATGCATCAGTTCAGGATATGTGTCTAAGATACATAAGGTTGGTTCTAATTGGATTTCTTGGAACATAATTGGTGGAAGTATTTAGATAGAGAAAATACCTCTATTCTTAATAATCAGTTTATTAAGGTTTTATTTGGGACAGCTTTCTTACTGCTTCTTAAAACAACTTTTTAGTACAACATAATTGGTGGAAGTATTTAGATAGAGAAAATACCTCTATTCTTAATAATCAGTTTATTAATTTTTTTTTGTTGCAAGGCATAATTTATGTTGTGATTGATAAATGACGCAATGTGACTAAAAAAACACTGCGTCGAAACAATAGTAGTAACAATTGTTGTAGTGAGAATGTGTTCTATTACAAGATGTTATTGTTGAGGTTCTTAATATTAAATGTTGTTGGTTTTTGCATTTAATTTACTATTTTTATAGTAGATGAAGCCTTTTAAGCGCATTCTTGGTCTCTAGAAATTCTAAAATAGTATTATGGTCTATCTGAAGTTTGTGAAGGATAAATGTAGTTGTTATAAAAATAGGCCTTAGAGTTCACAGGCATGCATGTTGAATTGACCATTGATTAATTTAGGAAACAAGTTACCTTTTGTACTTCTCTGATCCTAATCATAAGCAAAATCACTTGATTTTTTTTTTTTAAATTTTAGCGCAACATTATGTTTTTCTTATGTAAAATTTTCATAATTTATACTATTTCTTGAGGCACAAAAATGTTTTGATTGTTTGACGTATCATGGCCCATTTTCTTGTCCGCTTCTCTCTCTCACTCCATCTTTTTCTTCCTAATTCCTTTGACATGTTAGTAAGAATCTATCATTCATGCTTGCCTTTTGTTTGAATGCAAATGTTTTTGTTACACTATTTTTTGGTAAGAACGTGGTGCTTGGAGCAATTGTTAGGAGTTTAGAGCAATTTTTGTGCCATTATCAAATCCATCTTTATCATGAATAGTTGGTTTTAAGCTGTTTCTTTTCATCACTTAAATTCTTTCTACTTGTTTATCCTAGTTGGTTTTGACACTTAAGAAGTGCACTCATGGGTCCCACGAAAAAAAACAACCTATATCATAGCATGTTTTTTTTTAAACAACCTATTATAGTTTGATCTTGATCTGAATGTGACTTGCATAGTTCGTTCATCCCAGTTTGGTTGTTACTATCAATTCAATTACTTTTCAACAAAAAAAAAATTGTGCTTTGGGGAATATAATCATTTGCAATGCATTATTGGTCACTGTGGGTATCTGAAAGGATTCTGCTTGTAGGGTTTGAATGCAAAGGGTATGATCACATTATTCCGTAGGACAAAATATTTATAGGCCTTTATGCTCTACACAAGCAGGCCAATTGAAGAGCTAATCAAATCATATATCGATTAATCATGGAGGATAGTGATTTTCATATACACAGCTCGATGATTAATACTATATATAACATGATCAAAGTCACGATATTTCCCCCATTTTATGCATCAACTCGAATGAGTTATATTTGATGTGGGGATCGATTTTCCACGGATGCAAGCCCACATGGTTAATTATATCTTAAGTCCTTGCTTAAAAAATTCTCGATTAAGGATGCTGTATTATTCTCTTAAAAAGCATAACTCCTAGGGGAAAATCTTGGCTCTCCTAATCTAAAGGAAGATTTATTCTAATAGGCTAACCAATATACTAACATTATGTTATTATTCAACTACGCTAAGTAGGAAAGTCTGAAGAGAAAACATTGCATTCTAAACAAGCATAAGAGAAAGATAGAGTCGGCGTCTTCCATGTGACGCAGATAACCTCTGAAAGATAGAGAGCTTACCCATCGATAAGGCATAAAATAGTATACAAATACCGCAAGCCTTAGATCCTAAACCTATAAGGGATATAGTACCGTACACTTATTGCTAGCGCCCATGATCTAATTAATGTAATTTGGACTTATATCTTGCCTAAAAAAGAAAGCTAACTAAACCACTTAATCACATAAAGTCCATGCTATATCATCTTTATGAAAGACTGGTGGGTGCTTAAGTTTTTGGAATTTAAGATCAACATCTAGAGAAATTCTTAAGTGGCCTCGTACTTATGAATGTTATTATGCATATAGGATTAATGTAATTAATTTTTTTTTTATTTCAAAGGCAATGCATGCTAGTCAAAATATCTAAAATTAGAAATGCATCAAATTTTAAAAAGTCATATAAAAATAATAAAAAAAAAGATTAGGCTTCCCCAAGTTCAGCACTTTATTCTCATAGCTCGAATCATCTGAACTCTACCCTCGGGCGGAAGAGTGTCTAAATAAGAAAAGATAATAATTCTTTAATATGCATGCGACTCTGGATGACCTCTTGCTCATTTCCTAGATTGTTTATCTTTATATATTATTTAATTCTTGAAATTTTATTTTTAATTACGAGTAGAAGACTTTTACCCCTAAGAGCCTAGCAAAAATTCAAGCACATGCACATATAGAAAGAACCATATAAAAACATGTCATTTCTACTTTGTAAATAGAGTAAATAATTAATTAAAATAAAATATCAAGCAAAGTAAAAGTATCCAAAGTCCATGGCAATTGTCATTTAATTTACAATCCAAAGTGCAATAAAGTAATGGTGGCCAGACTCCACCCACAACAACCTAGATTCTACTCATATACAATGACACAAATAATAAAATAAGACATTTTTATCTTGATCTTCATCTTCTGATTCTTTTATTGGTCTCCTTTCTTTAACCTCCTCGTAGTACATACTCCAAAAGAATATCCAAATGAAAAGAAATTCCTCGTAAGGGACTTTCTTTTTTCTTTGGATACCTTATATTTAAAAATATTTTATTTTTTATTTTCACGACTCTATACTTCAAATAAATTATATCAAAATTATAAAGAGAAAAATATTAGACTTCCCTATAAGGTTATTCTAAGCAGTTATAACCATTTATCTCATGCAATTATATGATAAAATTAGAAGGCTCAAACCAGACAAATTTGATCATGTTTTTATTTATTTTAAGGCTAAGCAGCTGAAGCATCTATAATAATTAAATATTATTTATTTTTAGCCCCATTTTAGTTGGATGAGCATGACCACATATAGAAAACATCATGAGCATCTAGATTGCTCATAACCTATGAGTAATCTATTGTTCATCACATTATATAGAAGACAATAATCATGAAAAAGCTAACACCATCAGATAGATAAAAAGAAACTATCAGTCTAACCTAAAGATAGAAGCCATGTTCAAACAAACAGATCTAGGTGTGTATAATATGCTGTGTGATTTTGGGTATGTTCTATATAGGATAATCTATTTAAGTTATTTATAATTATGATTTATTAAAGGTTAATGGGAAATTTTAGTTTGATTTTAAGTATTAATGTCTTAAGGTTAATTTTAAAAGTTTAGTTTATTGTTTAGTGATTACTATCTTTGTTGCTCACCAAGATCGTAGGATTTATTTTACCCTCATTGGGTCTAATTTAATAGCCTCGGGGTCTGGGTTACCTAGTAGTAACAAATTTTATTAAATTAATTTAATTGGTTGAAAATTAAGGGTTGATAAATTAAATAATTTATTATCAATTTAGGAGGTTAATGTAACTAAATTTGCTTTCAATTAGTTCATGGCGTTGTGCCATTAAGCTCAAGGACCAGGCCTCCTTAGAACACTTAGCTTCATAACCCGAAGTTGTACATCCTAAAAACTAAGCTGATATAGTTAAATTAAGAATTTTTATTTGGTTAAATCATTTACAATCAATTGATTTTAAAGTTTTGACACTTCATTGAATCCATTCATGATGTTGTGCCATCAAGCTTGAGAACCAGATCTCCTTAGAACACTTAGCTCCATAGCGCAAAGTAGTCCATCTTAAAAGCTTCATCATTGAAATTTTTTTATGTATTAAGGGCTTGATTGATTGATTTTAAAGAAAAAGATATAATGATAACGAAAAGCAACTTGCATTATAATTTTTTGTCGTCAAAAGTTTATGTTGATAGTAACAATAATAAAAACAAAGCAACTATAATGGTAAATGAAAAATGGTTTTTAGCAAGCTTGCAAATGAAACTATTTAATTGGAAAGTGTTATGCTCTTCTTAGATATTCTTTCTTAACTAAGATACAACATTTCATAGGATAGCACACTTTTAGCCTTTAGCGATATGATTCCTGAACTCCTCAAGTTGCTTCCTAATATCACTCAGATCCTCTTTGAACTTTTGAATCTCCTCATCGTTCAATGATTCTTGGCCAAGCCTTTTAGCTTCCAGTCTAGCAGCTTGCTCTTCAACCTATATGTAACTAAAAATAAGTTCATTGTGTCTGGGAATAGATAAAATTGAAAAGAATGTCAATATAATTGATGAATTATTTAAATGGGTTTATTTAAGTTTCTAATTATATATTTGTTTAATATAGTCTTGTGTTTTCATAAATATGATCTAAAAAAGTCCATTTGTTGAATTATTTTGGATCACACATGTGGAGCCAAGATATAATTTAGATAAAATTTGAGTAGCATTGTAACTCTTAATATTATATTTAAAATTGAATACATAACTTTGAAGTACTAATTATCTTTGATGTTCAAGTTTGTATTGTACACCTTTTCATATTTTAGCCATAATGATTAAGACATAAAGCATTACTCCCTTTCATATAAAGATAAATATAAGGCAACCCAAATATAATAAAATATTTAAAATACTCATATTGAAATAAACACAAATATTGGAAAACTTTCATAGGCTTTCTACCCTTCACCACAAAGGTCAACATAAGATTAAGCCTACGTGTGGTGTTTTGTTTGTAGGCAAAAAAATAAGACTCCACAACTTAACTCATAGTTGCATTAAGGTTATTGTAGTAATGAACTTTGGAAACATAAAAGCAATATAACTTAAGTGCTTAAATGAGCTTACCATATCAGTTACACGCTTAAGTCGATCATCATATGATTTAATGGTCGCTTTCATAAGTTCAGAAAACTCCCATTTTGAACATCCTTCTTTAGCTTCAACTTCTTTAACCTTTTGGTGTTGAAGTAAAGCTCCTTCCTATTAAAAGCAATACCCAACATGAAGTATAAAACCTTTACATCTACCATAGCTACCAATTATGAACTATGAATTAAGGAGATGACATACCTTAAGTTCTGCAAAAATCTTATTTGAGTATGATTTTCCACCATTGTTCACAATAACAGACTCAACAAGAGAGAGCAACTCATTTACTTGTTCCTCTCTCTTGATCATATCCTTGGTGGTATTATCAAAAACGATTAATCTATTCTTACACAATTGAATGATGTTCTGTAAGAAAATTATCAAGGTTGGAAAATAATTATACCACATGAAAGAAATAAAAATAAGTTTAAAGATTTAAGTTGACCAAATTTATTTAACTAGTCAGCTTTTGAACGAGAATATTTGTTGTACTATAGATAAGTCTATTTCCAATTTAAAAAATAAACTAAGATAATGAACATGAAGGGTGAGTAACAAAATATTCACATGAAATAACAAATTTTAGTGATGAAATAATTAAATTCACTTAGCTCACATCAAAATTAAACTTTTGAATAGCAAAGTTAATCATAACCAATAATAAAAATATATTTCTAATACATGGATCAACTAAGATAGTAACTGCATTTAATTTTTGAAACGGTGCTTGCAACCCAATGGAAAAAATATGTTTCTTTAACGTTACATGGACTAATGAAGAGGCAATGTACACCACAATTTTGAAATGTGCATTGGGTCAGTCAATCTGATCAATAGATTTAGCTTTAACTAATTCAATTTCAAAAAGCAGTCTGCAAGCTAAATATATTAGAACATAGGCATAGTTTGTGCGAACAATTGGAAACAAGAGTCATAAATTTGAATAGGTAACAATTGTTGCATGTATTAACAAACAAAATACAAGTACATAATTAGTTAAAAATAGATTAAAAAATATCAGAATTGCCTTTAACTATTTATGAGAGCCATTTTAATCCTATTCTTTCTAACGTATCCAATTTAGTCCCTTGATTACTCCGAGTTGATCTAAAATTAACCCTTGACTCCTCAAATTAGATGCATAAATAATCTAACATAGATAACTTTAAGGCTTCATTTGGGATGGCTTTTTTATTGTTTCTTAAAGCAGCTTTCTAATACAAAAATTATATTTTTTGTACTAAAAACTATCTTAAGAAGCAGAAAAAAAGTTGTCTCAAATGAAGCATAAATGACATTTGAGTAGTAACATGCTAAATTGAACATATTTATAACACGGGACTAAATTGACCAAAATTCAGGAAATATTTCAAGATCTTGTTGCATTACACTCATATACAACAACTTCTTGGTCACATAACATTCTAACGTGTTACATTTGAGTAAAGTCATGGCTTCCAAGACAATGTGTTAGAGTATGTTGCATAAACAATTATGCACTATCTTTTTATTTTAAGCAGGTTACCTATGACATTATCTATTGACAAATTACTATAACGCATCACAATCATGGTCTTCTTGCCCTCAAGAAAGTCTACATTCAACATGTTAAAGATGCCAATTCATATTATCCAAAAAAATAAAATGATACAAACCCTAAAAAATTTTGGTAATCGATATTATAAGAAGAAAGATACAAACCGTCAAAGGTTCTGGACAACATTTAATAAAGTCCTTTAAGCTTTCTTGTGTAGATTCTAGGACGTCCCCATTAGTAAAAACTAAAATCATGTAGTCAAAAATCTTGTCCCCAAAAAGAGATTTCATAATCTCAATGGTAGCCCCCTCTTCTATTAAAATGGGAGATCTAAAGGAGAATACCATGAGTACTGCATGAATAGCATTGTTGGCTAAACTAATGCATTTGATTATCTCCCCGCTTATTACCTCAGCACTAGTAGAACAACCGAATAGTCCTACAAAGAAATCCATGGCCAAAATTAAGTGATTAGCAAATTGCCAATATTCTAATCCATATCGATAAAGAAAGGAGTTTGAAATTTTTCTATAATATATTTCATAGGTTATAATCATAAGGAAAAAAAGTAGTTAAATTGCTAAATACAGTGCCATATACAATGCCAATCAACATGTCAGTACATAACTTCAAATAATGACTTATGTAAACATGCACAATAAACAAACAATCTTACCAAAACATACTTCATCGTCTAAATTTTAACCCTCTTGAAGAATGATAGAGAGAAACCTGTCAAGCTTGATCTTCATGCACAAGGGACTGACTACAAGCATAAGCTAGTCTCATAAGAGCCAAACCAAATATAAACCCACAAATATATATTTTTAATAGAATTTAATAAAAATTACCACTTCAATGCTTCTATGAGGAACATAATGGAAAAAAATTAATTTATGGTTATAAAAATATGGGAAGGCTTAACAAATTAATGTTGTTTCCGTAATTTGTCTATTGAAATGTGAAATCTTGAATGACCACTACCATATGATTAAAAGGTAAATTATGAGGAAAATATAAAGAAATACATTCCAACCTCTTAATAGCCTTAGGTTGAGTCTGCAAAAGATAAAACCTAAGTAAAGCCCAAAATCCACCCCAACTAGATTGGGGACATAAAAATAATAATAATTATTGTTGCATATTGAAAATTATTTTCAATACCAACAAAGTTTGGGCTGATAGATCATCTAGAACATGACACTATACCCTAAAAAATCAACTAAAGAAATTCAATGATCGGGGTAGGAGCTGATTAAGAGCTTAAACTAATTCAATGGATATTAAAGAGTGGAAGTTTAGATGAAATATAGAGAGACCAAAAGTAGCTTGGGAAAGCCCTTGACCTTGCTTACTTGAGGGGTATACACATAAGCATTTGGACAAAGGGGCACTTGGCATCTTGGTAGGGCATATAGAAGATAGAGAAGACTTGCCTCACCTTTGTAATATATTTTAGATTAAAATACTCCTCAATTAAGGGTATATTAGCCATTTGATTGATAGAAGGATGAATAGCTAAGCCAATAAATATTAAAATTAATGTTAGACCATCAAGCTCCTAATAATGATGCATGGATTGATGGACAATTTGAGATTAATTTGTTTTTGGAAATTTAAACCATACTAGTGGATTAATATCATTGATTTAAATAGGATGATCAAATGAATGCTAATTGGAAATACTGCATGAAAGATAATTAGAGGTTGACACAAACATTGATGTCATCCAATGGTGAACGAGCTAAAAGGACCATTACCAAGTTAAACCTTTATTGTTTAAATAACACTAGAGCATGAACTGTGGCATCCTTGATTGAATGGTGAGAATTAAAAGATACCTATTTTTACAGTCATGTCAATTGCCCCTCTTATATCTTGATTCTTTTGCAAAATTTCAAAAAATATGTTTTCTATTTAAAATATTATTGCACCACCAAATGTTTCTTTATTGCAATGTAAGATGAACATCTTTAATAACAACTACTTCCAAGGCATCAATGTATGCATTTTCTCAAGAAAGTCAACAAATTACAAACACACATTGTTCGTTTCATTGCTTAGGTGAATTTTGAGCTACCTTGCTAATTTTGATGATTTTGAAACCCAAAATAAATTAATAATAAAGAAATATCATTAATTTTTTTATCAAACCCATGTACGAAGTTAGTAACTATCTTAAAACCTTTGAATGCTCTTAAGATGAGCCAAATTTGATTTGTAGATTAAAGATGTTTTATGCTAGAGATTGAACCAAAAACTGTAAGCTCAAATCATCTTAAAAAAATTAAACAACCCTTTTTAATGGGCCTAGTTCAAGTGCACAAGACCCAATAGAGCTTTTTGGATGGCCTAAAACTAAAGCATATGAAGCCCATGCATTGTTTCATGGGATTTTTTACATCCATAAGGGATAATACATTAAAACATTTCTATCATGCAATACTATAAGCGTGCCTCTTACAAGAAATTTCTTTGTTAAGCATCACCTTTGAAAGGAGAAATAGCCCTATAGGCACTTGAGTTTTTTTGGACTCCTAAGAGATAGTTGTGAATTACATTACCTATGTAAAGCCTATAAATAAGCAATTCTCATCATTTTATTGAGCTATTTTTCTACTACATGTGAAAAGTTATCGATGAGTTTAGTCTTTGAGCATTCATCAAATATTCCCTACATATGTTATATATTGATGTGTTAGGAGGTACAATTGAACTTGTTTGCAGAGATTTCAACCAAAACTCCCTTTGCATTTTGCTTTGCATGCAAGGTTCTAGCATCAAGCTTGGTTGTTAAGTTTTCATTCTAGATCCACGCTGCATGCTCTATATTCAATGCAAGGAAGAAGTGGTGATCTCCATCTTTTTTCTTAGTGATCTCCATCTATTAAATATTAAGATATCAATAAACTCCCTCGAGCCATTTTTCATTTAACAAGATGGTAATGGTGGGCTCAAGTAACATCATTGTCCTTTGGTCCTGAGTAGTTTTCATATGTTCTATAGACTCGTGTAGGCCCTACGTATCTGTTGGAGTTGGGTAGGCTCTTCGTAAATTTAGTTGGGTGAAAAATATACAGGCTATTCTTCAACCAAGTATTAAAAAAGATATCAATTAAAGTTTAAAAGCTCAATAAAAAGTCAATTCTAAAATATAAATATGTTTAATGATTTAAAAATATATCCAAATTAAAATTTGAATTTTGTATTATTTTTGCACACTATTTTCAAATATAATTTATTTAATGAAATTATTTTTTGGGCAAATTTTAGAGTGATAAAATCAAATTTTAACATGTATTAATTGTTAGCTATTGGTCAAAACTTGCAATGTAAACCAATGTGCCTCTAGGTCATCACAAAAATTGTATAACTTTGAAACATGTCGTATGAGCTCCATTGCATCTATCTTTAGCTATCTAAGATGACCATGGATACTTAGACATTTGGGCATGCAAGCACACCATGCAATCTATCCTATAATAATGAGCTAAACAGCCTTAGTCAATTGATTCCTAAAATATGAATGAACATCTTAGAATATCCAATCACATGTTTATTATCATCAAAATAAATATGTTGAATAGAGATAGTGAGACAACAAGGGAATATTAGCTGATTTTGAGGAGAAAGGAAAGAGATGAGAAGAAAATAACAATTTAATTTACCTCAATAAAACCCTAAGACACCCTTATGTAAAAGGTCCTTAATTCATACTACAAATAACTATCCCAAAATGGTAAGTTCTAATAAGTCTCCATTGCACAATCAACTAACATAAGAAACATAATTTAAAACTTATAAAAAAAATAAATGGATGCATAGCTTAATTTCACTTGAGTTAGTAGAAAATTTCTAATGATAAGCTCCATCATTTGACTCGAGTCAATATAAATTCTTTTTCAAAGAGTTGGAATGTGATGGCTTTATGGTCATGGAAGCAATTGTAGATCATGTACCTCTTGAGATATACGTAAAAGTAGATACAATTGAAATTTTACATAAGAGAAGTGGACAATAACCATGAAAAACAAATTGAACCATCTATGACTAACAAAACTATAGAGATTTTGAAGGCTTCAAATCTAGACTTTGAATTATGTCATAAATCAGATCAGCAACATAGGCAAGTATCCATCTTAACATTGTTACATATATGTCAACCTTAATAGATAGTGGAGAATCTAAACATCTTACGATACTATGTCATTATGCATGAGTGTCAAGATGAAACTAGAAACAACATAAGAGATTGAGAAACAACTTATATCACCATATATAAAGCTCAAGGAGCAATAATAATAGCTTAAGGCCCTATAAACACATTTGCAACTCAACCTCATGTATAATCTCTTGGTTAAATTTGGGGCAATTTTAATATCAACAACACCCACAAAGGCTACCATAAATGCATCATCAGATGTAGGTATTGATATGACAAATGTAGAAATTGCCTTTTATAATAGAAAGGCAGAGGTAGACCTAAAATTATTTGCCTAGAAAATATTAAAAATGACATTTTGTATTAGGATTAAATGATAAGTATATTCTTAATAGGATTCAACAGAGGTAATAATTTTTTTTTTTTTCATTTTTTAACCTATGTAGGTTTAACCTATGTAGGTCAACAACAATTAATAGTCAACACGTAATATATTTTTTAGCATGGCTCAGTCCTATTGAATTTGTTTTCAACCCTTTATAAGAAAATTTATGTTTTAATTGATTAATTTAAATAAATAAATTAAATGCAAAAACATGGAAGCGAGTCAAGAACAAAACTCATTAAAATATCCACGCTTTGCCCTCCAAATATGAGCATGGATAAAGCAAAATGTTCACAACAACAACCAATAAGAAGCTGTGACTCATTTCAATTCATTTTGGCTGCCATGCTTAATTGACATAGACATATATAATTTCAATAACTTCCTCCTCGCAAATACTGCCACACAAATTTATAAGAAATTTTGCTTCATATTTTTTGCCTTTTTTGTTATATATCCATTTTAAAGTTCTCAATAAATATGGTTCTTACAAAGTTTTATCCTCTAATAAGTGAGGCTTGCCTTTCTCACAATTTTTTTTGTTTTAATTCCTAATGCTTGTGTGTGAATGCATTACATATTTTCAATATATTCATGATAATATTATCCTATGCACTAAATTGAAAGATATAATTGATGTAAAAAGAGTAGACAAACTTAAAAGCTCATGTAGTCATTTTTTCAAAAGATAATTAAGACCAAACAATTTATAATTTCAAGTTATGATAGAATACATACAATATTCTAAAATTAAAAATATTAAAATGTATATGAATTGTTTGAGCTAAATGAATATTCGTAGATGAATAAAATAATGGGCATTACCTGGAGTGTCTATAACATTGATAATCCGACCATCATTAAGAATAGTACTTTGTAGCTCAGAAGAACATGTTACTCGCAAAAAGCCAAACTTAGAAACAAATGCCTCCCTTCCAAGAATGCTATTTCCAGTTGCACTCTTGCCGTAACCAACCTTTCCAACCATGACAATATTAATAATGTTACTTGCAGTTGTCAATTCCCAATCATTAATTGGATCGATCTCCATTCCATGTGACTAAACAAAATGCAAAAAAGAATGGTAATGATCAAAAGTTGAAAAATTAAGGCTACAATCTCATATACTGAATGAATAAGCATACTTAATGAGATATCAATAGTTTTGTATAATTTGAGACTTTCAAGCAAGTTTAGATTTGGCTCTTGGTAAGAGAATTTGTTGAATTGGGTTCAAGCTATAGAGATAAACCTATTAACATGAATATGGGTATACAAATACTATCTCCATTATACTGAGCCAAACAAAAAACCACTTCATGCCTCATTTAGTTGCTTGCAAATAGAAAACATGATTTAGTACAAAATATTTTTCTTTTCTTTCATTATGATTATGCTTGTAATAATAAAAACATAACATTTAGGGGGTTGTCCTGCTCAATATTAATGTAATTCTCTAACTACCCGACTAATGAATCTTGCAAAAATAAGGATTTGCTTACTTTCGGTGGATTGAGTTACTAAGCTAGTAAAGCCCAAAGAATGGAAATGGGGTAACTTGATGCTTATAATCACAGATAAGATAAACAAAACAAGCCTTTTGGAATGCCTAACATCTATTGCAAGGAGAGTCAAACATGCAAATCTATGATATTTTTATAGGCTTGAGCTTCCGTCCATGCATGACAATTTATGGCCTTTTATTTTATTAAATTTTAATTATTCAAATCAAATAACTTTTCATTTCAATTATTATACTTATAATTATTTTATTAATGTCAGATATACACTATTAATTAATAAATTGTTTTTATAATGTATTCATTAATTGCAATTAATTTATGAAAAGGATTTGAGTTTCCTTCAATGTCAAATCATGACCTTCCATTTTAATTAATTTTAATTATTCAAATCAAATCAAAACCTTTCATTTCAATTATTATAGTTATAATTATTTTATCAATGTCAAATATACTATGTTAATTATGTAACTATTGTAATAATGAATTTATTAATTGTCATCTACTTATGAAAGCGACTTTACTTTTCTTCTATATATATCAAATCGTGGCATTTCATTTTAATTAATTTTAATTATTAAGATAAAATAGCAATAATATATATCAATTATTATAATATAATTATAATTATTTTATTAATGTGAAACATATTCTATTCATTACAGAATTAATGTCTATTAATTACTAACTTGCTGTAATAATGTATTCATTAATTAATTTCCATCTGCAACCCTTATTCCTATCCCATCTTCGTACCTCTTTGTCTCCATCCATGACGTTAGGGCTTTCATACGCTCGGGCTTTCATATGCTCAACTCACCGGTTCTTCCCTTCTTGGACATCTTCAGACCTCTTAGCCTTCATGACGTTAGGGCTTCTCATTGGCTCAACTCGTCGGCTCTTCAACTTCTAACTTTTCTTCTTCCTATCTGCTCTCGGCTTCATCTCCGTCGCTTTGCATTCGGAATTCTTTAACGACAGTAACCAGTCTTCTTCCCCTATCATCTCGACTTTTCTTTTCTGCCTTTAACCATCGGAAGGTGAAACGAAGAACTCGCCCAAATCACAACTGTGATTCCTTTCAATTTTGGCATTTCCATCCGTGCCATTACCAATCCCACTTCTCAAACCCTTCGTATACCAGTATACCTAACATTCACAATAAATGTTGGAAGAAGAAACATCATAAATCCCTAACAACTAAATCGCAAACGGTTGGCTCCTTAGAGGTTAAATCGGCAATTTCACTTCTGTTACATATAAAGATTGGGTATTTCATTCAAGGCATGTTGATCTAGGGCATCTCAAGGTGTAACTTAATCTCGGTATCATATTGCTCATAGACCTTGTCGTAAATATCAATTATATTAACTAGAACTATTTGTATCATGTCGGATTTGATATTTTATTTTCTCTAACTAAATTCTTCCACCAATGTTATCAAACTTCAAGCTTGAAAATGCCTTTGTGCATCTTCTTTAATTGAAAGATTTACTTTTTTGAATTTGAATCTATATTGAATGTCATTTTATTTTGATTTGTATTGCATTTGAATTGAATGAATTTATTTGGATATCCGCTTGAATATATGCATCGGTTCAGGATATGCGTCTATGATATATAAGGTTGATTCTAATTGAATTTCTTGGAACATAATTGGTGGAAGAATTTAGATAGAGAAAAACCTCTATCCTTGATAATCAGTTTATTAAATTTATTTTTTGCAAGGCATAATTTATGCTGTTATTGATAAATGATGCAATGTGACTAAAAAAACTCTGCCGTGGAAACAATTGTTGTAGTGAGAATGCATGTGTTGTCTGTTACAAGATGTTATTGTTGAGGTTCTTAATAGTAAATGTTGCTGGTTCTAGCTTTTGTTGGCTCAGGTTACACTTAACTTTTAAATAAGAAGTAATTCTTTAATCACTTACTCAGGTTATAGAATGTATTTTACTACTCTCTCCATGATTAAAGGGAAGATATGAATCATTTACACAATACTTATGTGGAAATATATGACGTCTTTGGAATGTTTGATTTGGCTGGGATATGGTGAGTTCGGTATATTTATATGTTAATCTTTTGACACGCACATACATCTCACATGTAAAAGTATCACAAATGATTATGTGTGTGTGTGAGTGCACACTACTGATAATTTTCTTGTTATTCTTCCTAAAGTGAATCTTAGCCATTCATATGAAGAAATAATGGTTTCATAACACTGGTAAATTACTTGTGGAGCAGCTTGGCGATGTTTATGACGATAGCACCGACTTTATTTCATACAACATCTGCATTAACAAAATAACATAGCACTGCTATTGCTCTTTGAAAATGGTAACCTTATGAGGAAATAAATAATATGATTGCTCTTTTGATCTAAGAGGTTTGTTAACCTACTTTCAAGTGATGGTTCTTCCTCTGGATGGCCTTTTTGGCAATCAGGGATCATCACCCATCCTCTTTTGACACCAACATATCTCCCTTGTGATGGTCTGAGATCTTTTTTTTTTTTTGTCTGTTTAAGGTTGTTGAATCAATTTGTTGGCTCTGTTTTACAAATCCACTTGTCATTGTGTATGTTTTCTCATTCTCTGGGGCATGACTCTAATGATGGTTGTTGGTGGGGTTCTCTTCGATTTTGTACTGGGACATGGTTTTCAATATTACTTGGATGGGATCACTTGCTAATGCTTTTGTTGATTATTCAAATTGTTGCCTTTTTTCTATTGAATTATTTTGGCATTCTCGAGGCGATCAGATCAAGAAGGATGACGATAAATGATTTTGCAACTCCAGCCCTTCTCTTCTTAAATGGTCTTCTCAGCAACCAGGATTTTCTTCTTGGATGGTTGATTTAGCAACCTGGGTTGTAGCTCCTATAAAGATATATTATGATGCAAGTAGTTTTCCTTTTTTTCATTTGATTCATGTGTTTTAGAACCTAGTTTGCTTTGCTTTTTGCAAAGCTCTTCTTTTTTCACAACTTAAAGTTGGTTAGTTAATTTGTATTTGAGTTGTAAAGATATATTTTGTTTGTAATTATATTTTATAGTTAATGAAATTGGGCTTTGTTCAAAATATTTCCTTCAGCAAATGGCGTGCTGAGTCAATTCAAATTGTTTTTTTCTAAATTCATTCTAATGTTTATTCAATCAGATTATTATATCAAATACTATTATGTTAAAAGCACTCAAAATTAATTGGAAGCTCAAATAACAGTTCTATCAAATTCAATTCAATGGATAAATGGATAATTACAATATTTATGTATATTATGCCATTTGTTCGTGAGTTGTAATATTTTATTGTTATAATTTTATTAAATTCTATATAATAGAATTGATATTGATATAAATCAATGTTATTAAATTAATAATAATAAAATTGTTAAACAAAATCTTTAACCATAGCGAGTGAAATCTTATTTTTAATTGATGAATTACAGAGCAATTAATTGATTAATTTTAAATTTAATTTAGTTTATATTACTATTATAAAGGACTATAATCTCACACTACGGAGCATTGGTGATATGCTCAATTGTTATTGTTATGTGCGAGGAATAGATTAATTAAGAAATAATTTGATCATCTAAGTTTATGAACAATCATACATGAATACAATAAATAAAGTAAAAAAAATTTGATAGGATCAAGATATTTTATATGAAACTACTACAAAGAGAAATACAATAGAATTTTATATGACATTATAAATTTCAAGATGAGACATTCTAATCGCCTCTATTAAAATTTTGTATAATATTGACAATTTGAATAAGTCCATCTAATTCTCTCACATTTTCCTAACATTTTAATGCCTTATTAAACTTAGAATTATAAAATGTTAGACTTACAAGATTTGTTTTGTAATTTAAAGTATGAGTGCTTAAAATTTATTGACTATTTTCCCTCAAGAAATTTTCAATTATATTTTTTGGACTTTTGAATTAAGATTATTAAGCCTTGGATTCATTAGGCTTTGTTCGGTATAGCTTATGGTCATTGCTTTTTCGCTACTTCCAAGAACTTGTTGTGCTAAAAAGCTGTTGTATAAAATAATAAGAAAATTGTATCAAACAAAGACTTAATTTTTATCTTATAACATATCATCTCAAAAATAAATGCTCTAAAAATAGAGAGAATATCTTAAATTTAATTTCAATTTTTTTTCCAAATAGTTTTTAGTGCTTTCAGACTTGAGAATTAAAGTGAACTTCGTGTAAATTCAAATCAAATTTATGAATAATATCAGTCATGACAAATAGTGATTTATACATTAAAAAATAGTGTATAAAGAAAAAAGATATTATGATAATGAAAAGCAACTTGCATTATAATTTTTTCCCATCTAACAACATCTATATTGATAGAAACGGTAATAAAAATCAAGCAGCTATAATGGTAAATGGTAAATAGTTTGTAAAAACCTTGCAAACGAAATTGTTTAATAGAAAAGTGTTATATTTTTCTTCCCTAGAGAACTACATAGATATTATTTCATAACCAAGATACCCATTTCATAGGATAGCTTAGCCTTTAGCATTACGCTTCCTGTACTTCTGATCATATCGCATCATAATCTCATTAAGTTCCTCTTTGATCTTTCAAATCTCCTCATCCTTTAGTGATTTTCGGCCAAGTCTTTCAATTAGCCAAGAGCTCACTCTTGAGCATGTATGTAACCAGGGTCATTGTGTCAGTGCATAGATAAAATTGAGAAGAAGGTCAATATAATTGATAAATTATTTAAATGGATTTATTTAAGTTTCTAATTACATATTTGTTTAATTTAGTATTGTGATTCATTTTATAGGATCAAACTTCCGACATCTCCACTAAAGGGCGGCCCTTTACTCAGTTTCACTACCTACATGATAAGTTAATGTAGCTTAATCTTGATCATCAACTTGAGGAGAGCCAATAAAACCAAAATCAAATTTACCATTCTAACCATATAATTTGTACTCCTACAGTGCCTTCTCATTCCAAACCTTAAACAAAAACTCTAGGAAAATACGGTTGCTAGCCTGAAATAATATTACTATCATAGCAACCTATGTCTATATTTAATAGTTTGCTTCCACATATATATAGATAGCATTGTAATTCTTAATAATATATTTTAAAATGAATGCATTATGCATAACTCTAAACTATTATTTATCTTTGATGTTCAAGTTTGTATTGTAGATCTTTAATCATATTTAAACCCTAATAATTAAGATATAGAACACTACTCCCCTTCTTATAAAAATAAATATAAGGCAACCTGAATATAATAAAATATTTAAAAAACTCTTATTGAAATAAAAACAAATATTGGAAAACTTTCATGGGCTCTCTGCCCCCCTTCCGACTCTTACAATGTCTTCACCATAAAGGTCAACATGTGATTAAGCCTACATGAGGTGTTTTGTTTGTAAGTAAGAAAATAAGACTCTATAACTTAACTCATAGTTGCATTAAGACTAATTCAACTCTGAAAATTGGAAACATAAAAGCAAAAGAACATAAGGGATTAAATGAAAGCAATACCCATCATGAAGTATCAAACCCTTATATCTATCACAACTATCAATTGTAAAGTATAAACCAAGGATATGACATACCTTGAGTCCTGCAAAAAACTCATTTGAGTATGGTTTTCCACCATTGTCCACAATAATCGACTCAACAAGAGAGAGCATCTCATTTACTTGTTCCTCTCTCTTAATCATATCCTTGGTGGTATTATCAAAAATGATTACTCTATTCTTGCACAGTTGAATGATGTTCTGCAAGAAAATTATTGAGGTTGAAAAATAATTGTACTAGATGAAAGAAATAAAAAATAAGTTTAAAGATTTAAATTGACCAGATTCATTTAACTAGTTTAGCTCTTGAATGACAAGATTTGTTGTAGACTATAGATAAGTCTACTTCCAATAAAAAAAATAAACTAAGATAATGAACATAAAGGGTAAGTAACAAAATTTAGTGATGAAATAATTGAATTCACTTAGCTAGCATCAAAATTCAACTTCTGAATAGCAAAGTTAATCATAAATAACAATAAAAACATATTTCTAAAACATGGATCAACCAAGATAGAAATCAGATTTAGTTTTTGAAAATGTTCTTGCAGTCAATGGAAAAACTATGTTTCTCTAACGTGACATGAACTAATGAAGAGGCAAGGTACACCATAGTTTTGAAACATGGGTTGGGTCAATCAATCTGATCATCATATTCAGCTTTAACTAATTCAATTTCAAAAAGCAGTGCACAAGCTAAATATATTGAATTATGGACATAGTTGGTACAAACAATTAGAAACAAGAGTCATAAATTTGAATAGGTAACAATTTTTGCTTGTATTAGCAAACAAAATTCAAGTACATAATTAGTTTAAAAATAACAAAAAAAATATAAAAATAATCCTTTAACTATTTATGAGAGCCACAGACACACACACACACACACACACGCACACACACACACACACACACACACATTATATATACTAGAGTATGCTTGTTTTAACGAACCTTTTGCATTAACGTCATTATACAATAGCTTCTTGGTCAAATAAAGTTCCAATGTGTTGCATTATAGTAAAGCAATGGCTTTCCAACACAGGGTTGACAAGGTTGTGAAAATCGGACTGGACAACGAACCGGCAGAGAGAGGGTTCACCGTCACTACAGGAAAACGTCGGAAATACGGCGGTTTTTTCCGGCGGTTACTGTATATTAACCGGCTGTTTTTTGGCTACCGCGATTTTTTGGCCGCGGAAAAAATCGCGTAGGAAACTTGTACCGGATACGTAATATAACATTTAGATATATAAAATAATAAATTAACTTACATTTACTAATACTTATTAATATCTTATATAATTTTAAATTTATGCATTCAATCTTTAAATTAAATTTAAATTTAACAAAAAATAACTTACAAATGAATTAAAAGTTTAATATAAATAATCCTTAATTTATGAATATATTTTAATATAATTATATTTAAAATTTATATATTAGATTCATATTATTATTTTACATTTAAATTAATTGAGTTAAATTAAATCATTTATATAAATATTAAAATAAAAAATTAATATTATATGGAACATAAAAAAAATAAATGATGAATATAATTCTTAATATATTAATTAAAAAAATATTATTCTGATTTTCAGTCATAAAAATATTATTTAAAAAATTTATTTTAAAATGAATAATGTATGTTTTAAACTTAAAAGTTAAGAACAAAGACATAAAAGCTTGATTTTTAGTCCACATCACATGGGGAACTTTCCCTTGGTGAAACTTTACTATATATGCTTTTGAGCTAGAAAGGTGTAGTACATCATGTAAAAAGATGAAACTTTATGAAATACTTGTTTGGAATTTTTAATTTAAAATTAAAGCATTTCAAATTTGAAATTAAATTACAAATATTTTTTAATATTTAAAAATAAGTTATTTAAAATTTAAATATTAAAAAATACAAATCTGAACGGCTGGTTCAAGTGAATCGCGACTGGTTCGCGGTTCACCGTTGAATCACGGTTTTCGGACAAAATCGCCGGTTTGAAGCTAAGCCGGTTTTTCAGGTTGAATCGAACTGGCTTTGGACCGGTTCACGGTTGACCTGGTCGGACCGGTTGGTGAACCGGCGGACCGCTGTTGGTCCGAATTTTAAAGCACTGGGTTAAGAGTATGTGCATAATTGTTAAAAAATCTCTTGCTATTTTATGCAGCTTACCTTGGCCATTAATATATTAGCAAATTACTATAACATATCACAATCATTGTCGATTTTTGATTTTATACTAGCAATGAATTTTTGTCTACAATCAACATGGTTAAGAAAGGTATATATAATTATCCACAAAAAAAGCTCTCAAACATTTTGGCAATCAATAATTATAAAAAGAAAGATACACAACCTTAAAGGTTTCGGAAAAGCTAATAAATCCTTCCAAGCTTTTCTGTTTAGATCAGATGTTCACCATTAGTAAAAACTAAAAATTGTGCACAATCTTAATCCCAAAAAGCGATTTCATAAACTCTGGCACCTCTTCATCTTGCCAAAGCAAGATCTAAGGAGAATAACCATGAGTACTGCATGAACACATTCTAGCTAAATTAATGCATTTTGACTATCTCCCACTTAATTAGCCAATATCAGTAGAAGAATCCGAACCCTACAAAGAAATCATGGAAGAAGTTAAGTATAACATCTAACTTTATTCTAATACCATATAATAAGAAAGGAGAATGAGTTGTCTATAATATATTTATTGGCTAAATATAAGAAAAAAAAAGTAGTTTAAAATTGGTAAAATAAAATGCTTCAATATAGTGGAAATTGACATGTCAAAGTACATAACTTCAAATTATGATTCATGTAAACGGTAACGAAGAAAAAAACAATCCTATTGAAACTCCTCCATCCTCTAATTTTACCATCTTGAAGAATGGAAAGGGAGACTGTCAAGCTTGAACTTGATGCACAAGGTGACTATAACAAGCCAAATAAGTCGCATAAGAAAAACCAAATATAAAACCCACAAACCATTTTCAGTTAAATTATAAAATTTCCACTTCAATGCTTTATGAAACTAATGAAAATATTATGTATTGTAATAATATATGGGAAAGCTTAACAAATGCATGGTTCCCCCTGATAGTCCTATTGGCATTATAAACTTAAATCCACACTACTTACGTTGAAAAAAGAAAACAGAGGAAAATACAAAAATATATCCCAACCTTTAAATAAACTTAAGTTGAGTCTCAAAAGACATAAACCAATAAACCCAATCCACCCCACTAGATTGGAACATAAAAAATAATAGATTTCTATCAAATAATTATTTCTTCAGACCACACACACACACAAATATATATATATATTATATATATAATAATAAATATATATAATATAAATTATATTAATAATATAAGTTGCAAGTGAAAAGATTCAACTTCACCAAACGTTTGTGCTGGGATCATCTAGAACATTCACACGTACTATCACAATTACTAAACAAATTCAATGATCGAGCGTAGGAAATGATTACGAATGTTAGTAAACAATTCAATGGAGAATAAAGAGTGGAAGTTTAAAGGATAAATAGATAGAGTAAAGTAGCTTAGAAAGCCTTTCTTTGCCCACTGAGGGGTATACAAAGTATTTGACAAATGAGCATTGTTATCTCGGGGGTAATGATTATAGAAGACTCACGTCACCTTCGAGATATATTATAGATCAAAATACTCCTTAATTGAGTGTACTTTGGTCATTAGATTGATAGAAGGATGAATAATTAAGACTATTAATATTAAAATTCATGTTAGACCATCATGCCCCTAATAATGATGCTTGGATTGATGGACAATTTGAGATTAATAGGTTATTGGAAATCTAAAATAGACTATTAGATTAATTTCATTGATTTAAATAGGGTTATCAAATTAATGCTATGATAAAAGATTATTAGTGGTTGGCATAAACTTTGATGTCATCTAATGACAAAAGAGCTAAAAGGACCATCATCAAGTTAAATCCTTATTATATGAATAACACTGGAGCACAAAGCTTGACATCCTTGATTGAATGGTGAGAATTAATAGATATCTATTTTTAGGGTCATATCAGTTTCCCTCTTACATCTCGATTCTTTCACAAAATTTTTAAAAAAATATTTTTTCTATCGAAAATATCATTGCACCACCAATTACATCTTTATTGCAAGGTAGGTTGAACTTCTTTAACTAAAAATACCACTAAGGCATCAATGTATGCATTTGCTCAAGACTATAAATCAACATATTACAAAAAAACATTGTTCTTTTCTTAGCTTGGGTGAATTTTGAGCTACTAATACAGAATCCTTGCTAAATTTGATGATTTTGAAACCAAAATTAAATTAATAATAAAGAAATATAATTATTTTTTTTCAACCCCATAGACAAAGTTAATAATCATCTTAAAAACTTTGGATGCTCTTTGGATGAACCAAACTTAATTTGTGGATTAAAGTTTGTATTATGCATTAGATTGAACCAAAATTAGTAAGCTCAAATCATTATAAATAACTTAAGCAACCTTTTTCTTTGGACGTAGTTCAAGTGTACAGCACCCCATAGAGCATTTTGGATGACCCAAAACTTAAGCATATGAGGCCCATGCATTTTGGCATGGGCTTTGTGCAACCATAAAGGAGAGTACATTAAAATATTTCTATCAGGCAATACTATAAGTGTGCCTCTTATAAGCAATTTCTTTAATAAGCATCACCTTTGAGAGGAGAAATTGCTTCATAGGCAGTTGAGTTTTTTATTGACTCATAAGAGATAGTCATGAATTACATTCCCTATGTAAAGCTTATTAATAAGGCAATTCTCATCATTTTATTGAGTTGTTTTTCTACTACATGTGAATTGTTAGGGATGAGTTTAGTATTTGGGCATTCGACAAATATCCCATACATATGCTATTTATCATACCTTTTAAAATCAAACTTGATCAACTGGTTCGACCGATTCAACCACGAACCGGTCTGGCAGGCGGTTCGATTTAATGCTAGAATCGACTGGCTGTATAACTGGCTAAAAACTGCTCAAAACCCTGGTTGGACCGATGAACTGCCAAACCGGACGATTTTAAAAGAACTGGCCGGTTCTGATTTTTGTAAATCTCAGCTGTCCATCCACAATCCACCACGCATAGGGGAAAATTAATGTATTGTATCGTCACTCCGCACTAATACCCATTTGACGGATGGTGTTTCACTATTTCGATTCCTCGATGAAGATAGACAAAATCAACTCCTCCATCCACAAGCAGAAGCCGAAGGAATCCTACGACTATCTCCGACCATCCCAACCGCGCACCTGGCACAGGATTCCTTACCGTGAGACTTAACTTCATATTTTGCTACTTATTTTCATTGTTGCTTGGTTTATAGTATTTATTTGATATGTAAGGAGGTATAAATGAACTTGGTTGCAAAGATTTCAACCAAAACTCCCTCTGCATGTTTGCTTAGCATACAAGGTTCTACCACCAAGCTTGTTTGTTAAGTTTTCATTCTTGACCCGAGCTACATAATCTCTATTCGATGCAAGGAAGAAGTGGTGATGTCCATCTCAAATAATAAAATTTCAATAAACCCCTTTGAGGCATTATTCATTCAACAAGATGGCAATGATGAGCTCAAATGGTCTTATTGTCCTTTGGTATTGAGATGTAGACTCGGGTAGGTCCTAAGTATCCACTGGAGTTGGGTAGGCTATATGCCAATTTAGTTGGATGAAAAAGGTGCATAATATTCTTTAACTAAGTATTAAAAAAGCATTATTATAACTAAAAGCTCAATGAAAATTCAATTCCAAAATTTAAATATTTTTAATGATTTGAAAATACATCCAAATTATAATTCAAATTTTTAATTAGTCTTGCACGCATTTTTCAAATATAATTTAGTGAATGAAAATATTTTTTAGGCAAATTTTAGGGAGATAAAATTGAATTTTAACATCTAATCTTTGTTAGTTATCGATCAAAACTTGCAATCTACAACCTATGTGCCTCTAGGTCATCACAAACATTGTACAACTTTGAAACATGTGGTATGAGCTCCATTGCATTTGTCTTCAGCTATCTAAGATGACCATGGCTACTTTAACATTTGAGCATGCATGCACACCTTGCAATCTATCCTAAAATAATGAGCTAAACAACCATATTACAATGATTCCTAAAATATTAAATAAACATATTTGAGCATCTAATCACATGTTTATTATCATCAAAATAAACATGTTGAATAGAGATAGTGAGATAAGATGGGAAAATTAGCTAATGATTGAGGATAATGGGAAGTGATGAGAGGAAATTAACAATTCAATTTACTCAATAAAACCCCAAGGCACCCTTATGTTTAAGTTCTTTAATTCATACTACAAATAACTAATCATACAAATATAGGTTCTAATATGTCTCCATTGTACATTCAACTAACATAAGAAACATAATAAAAATACTTATAAAAAAATTAAATGGACGCATAGCTTAAAAATGGCTAAATTCCATTCAATTGACAAGCTCCATCATTTCATTTGAGTCAATAGAAAATCTTCTTCAAATAATTCAAATGTTGTGGCTTTAAGGTCACAGAAGCAATACTAGATCATGTACCCTCTTGATGTACACATAAAAGTAGATAGGTTTTGAATCTGACATAAGTGGAAGTGGCCAACAACCATGAAAAACTAATTGAACCATCAGTCACTAATCAAACTAAAGAGAATTTGAAGGCTTCAAAGCTAGACATCAACTTATATCATAAATCAAGTTTGCAACGTAGGCAAGTATCCAACTTTGATAGATTGTAGATAATCTAAACATCTTAATATACTATGCCATTATGCATGAGCGTTAAGATGAAGCTAGAAACAACATAAGAGATTACAAAACAACTTATATAACCACATTTAAAGCTCAAGAAGCAATAACAATAGCATAGGGCTCTATAAATACAAGTGCAACTCAATCTCTTGTATAATCTCCTGGTTAAATTTTAGTCAATTTTAGTATCAAATAACACACAAAAATGCTATCATAAATACATCATCAAATATAGATATTGATACGACAAAGGTAGAAATGGTCTTTCTTTATTAGAAAGGAAGAGGTAGACCTTAAAAGACATGGCTAGAAAATATTAGAAATGACATTTTATATTAGATTAAAATGATAATTTGACTCTTAAGAGGACACAATGGAAAATAAGGATTCATGTAGCCAACCCGAGAAATAAAAGCTTGATGTTGTAGATGTATGTATATTATAATACATACAAGATCTAAATTTTCTATATAGAATTGGGTTTTTAATGAATACTAAAAATATTCAAGCTTTATCATATATTAAAAAAAAATATTCTATCAAAATATGCATAAAAGTTAAATGAATACATGGCCAATAAACATTTTAACCATGATGATTTAATCAACCTTTTTTTTGAAATAAAAAGATAAGTGCTTAAAGAAAGGATGAGAAGAACAACTAAAGAGACCATTTCCATGAAGAGCATTTTGATTTTTTTTTATGAGTAATATTCTGCATAAATAAGTTATGTCACATTTAAGATTTATATTGGGCAAAAGGCTCTTCATTCTGAGAGTATTGTAATCCTTTTAATGGTTAAATGGTGGAGAACCAAGCTGAATCTTCTTTGAAATTTTTGTAATTTATTATTCTCCCTTGTTTTGATGGGTGAATCTATGTTGCCTCTATGCCCAAAATTCGATAAGTTAAATATCTAAATCAAACAAGTAGATTTATAATAATTGTTCAAAATATTGATGATGACAAAAATCTTAATGAACTGTGTAATTTATGCTAGTATCAATTTTTTTCCACTAAATGTACTTCATTAAAGCCAATCAAAGATAAGACTAATATTGAAATGATCTAATGTTGTGAAAGTTAAAGGACTATCATCAATCTCAACTAAAAATGAGAAAAGATTAGCACATTATCACTCCACAAAAAAATATTTAAGTAATGTATGCAAAAATTGATAAATCAAACAAATTAAAATTTGAGAGTTATGGATTATTTCCTATGGATAAAAAAGTATGTCAAACTTTAGCAATATGGTAGATCACCAAAATGAAAGTCTACAAATATATAACTGTTAAACCTTAAAATCATACCCCCAATAAACTACTTTATAAAGTTGGAGAAAAATAATTAGTCAAGTAATTGGAATGAAAAGTACAAGATATATTTATTAAGTATTGATTACATTTGTAGATCTTCATGGATATTATAAGAGTGCATAAATGTTCTTATTTTATATTGAGTACACATATAATTATTCATTCATTGTGCACTCCAACAAATAAAATAAACTGAGTTTACAAAATGCACAACCAACTACTAAAAAAATCACTACATAATTATATATTCATGTACTTAGCATTTGTGGGCTCCAAAGATTTGTACCCCGGCCTCTCTATGGACCCCTTTCTTTCATTTCTTAGGGTAGTCAAGGAGAGTTTTAATGCTTAAGTTCTAGGGAAAATTTCCATAGGCAAATTGGATTTGTAGATAAGACACTACCAAGAGATTTTGATATCAATTTATGAGCATTAAATATTTTTAGTATATTCATGATAATGTTGTCTCATGCACTAAATTGAAAGGTATAATTAATGTAAAAAAGAGTAGACAAATTTCAAAGCACATGAAGCTATTTTTCCACAAGGTAAACAAAATCAAACAATTTATGTATTCATGTTGTGATAAAATACATATAATATTCTAAAATAAAGATTTAAAAATATATATACATTATTTGGAATTAATGAATATTCATAAATCAATAATGCGATGAGCATTACCTGGAGTGTCTATAACATTAATGATACGACCATCCTTACGAATAATTCTTTGTAGATTAGAAGAACAAGTTACTCTCGAACTATCAAGCTTAGAAACGAAGGCTTTGCTTCCAAGAATGCTATTTCCAGTTGCACTCTTGCCATGACCAACCTTCCCAATAATGACAATATTAATAGCTTTACTTGTAGTTGTCAATTCCCAATCATTAATTGGATCGGCATTCATTGTGTGCGACTAAACAAAATGCAGAAAAGAAAAGTAAATTGATCAAAAGCTGAAAAGTTGAGGCTTCAATCATACATACTGAATGAATAAGCATACTTAATGATATATCATTAGTTTTGTACAATTTGAGAGTTTCAAGCAAGTTTAGATTTGTTTCTTGGTCATAGAAACTATTGAATTGTGTTCAAGCTATAGAGATTACCCCATTTAAATGAATATGGGTGTACAAATACTATCTCCATTATACTGAACCAACCAAGAAACCACTTCATTCCTCATTTAGTTGCTTGTAAATAGAAAACATGATTTAATATAAAATAAATTTCTTTTCTTTCATTATGATTATGCATGTAAAAATAAAACCATAACATTTAGGGGGTTCTAAGAAGGATATGTCATACTTGAAATTAATGTTATTCTCTAAGTGCTCGACTACTTACAAAAATAAGGATTTGCCTACTTGCAGTGGCTTGAGTTACTCAGCTGGTAAAGCCCGAAAAATGGATATGGGACAGCTTGATGCTTATAATCACAGAGAAGATGAGCAAAGCAAGCCTTTTGGAATGCCGAACCTTTACTGTGAGGGAAGACAAACGTGCAAATATATGCAATTTTTATAGGCTTGAGATTCCTTCCATGTAAAATTATGACCTTTTATTTTAATTAATTTTAATTATTCAAATCAAATCCTAACTTTCCCTTTCAGTTATTGTACTTATAATTATTTTATTAATGTCAAATATACACTATTAATTACTAAATTATTGATATAATATATTCATTAATTGTCATCAACTTATAAAATGGATTTGAGTTTCCTTCCATACCAAATTGAAGCCTTCCATTTTAATTATTCAAATAAACTCACAATCTTTCATTTCAATTATTATAGTTATAATTATTTTATTAATGTCAAATATACTATTTTAGTTACCTAATTATTATAACAATGAATTCATTAATTATCATTTATTCAAATAAAATCACAATCTTATATTTTAATTATTATAATATAATTATAGTAATTTTATTAATGCGAAAAATGTTATATTCACTTCTGAATTAATGTTTATTAATTACTAAATTGCTATAATAATGTATTCATTAATTAATTGCTATAGTAATGTCATTTTATTTTGATTTGTATCACATTTGAATTGAATGAATGTATTTGGATATCCACTTGAATATATGCAATGTATTAGAATATGATTGTAAGATTCATAAGGTTGATTCTATTTGAATTTCTTGAAACATAATACCTCTATTCTTAATAATCAGTTTATTAAGGTTTTATTTGGGACAGCTTTCTTACTGCTTCTTAAAACAACTTTTTAGTACAAAAATTTAAATTTTTGTACTAAAAAATTGCTTTAAGAAACAAGAAGAAAGCCGTCCCAAACAAAATCTAAATCCTTTGTTTGATTAACTCAATGGATCGCATGAGATGCACAAAAGTTTCAGAATACTGACATTTTATTTGTTTCAGTGGCATTGATACATGTGGTTTGTTTGTTATGCAAGTTGACCTCTATTTTCATCTCTGTTTTAAATTTTGAATGTAGTTTAATGTCTTATTTCTTCTTTCTAGTGTTTATGTTGAGCATTTATTGAAGATTAGGTTTTAATTGATTCCTCACTTCTATTGCATTGTTTTGTTTTTATAAATAAAAGAGGTTTATTCTCCTTCATTTCTAAAAAAGCCTGCTTTACATTTGTCTCTTAGCCCATTTTCTTGTTCGCTTCCCTCTTTCATCCCAATGATTGTTACTATCAATTCGATTACTTTTTTCCACCAAAAATATATTTTTGTGCTTTAGGAAATATAGTCATTTGCAATGCATTGTTGGTCACACTTAACTTTTAAATAAGAAGTAATTCTTAGATCACTTACTCAAGTTCGATAAGGTTCTCTAATGTGAAACCAATCTAGCTCTACCATCTATTATGTTTTCATTTTTAGGAAGTGTTGATTTAATAAGTATTATGTATGGTTAGGGTCATTAAATTGGTAGTAGCTCCAAAATTTGCGCCCTAGCCTCCCTTGCTTCCTAGGGAGTTTTAACATATTAAGTTCCAAGGTAAATTTTCAAAAGGCATATGGGTTTGAAATAAGATACTAGCCAGAGATTTGACCCTCATTTTGTGAGGAGTTTATGAACAGAGTTATAGTTTCGTATAGGTGCAAGCCCCTATAATTAATCACCCCACCCAATAATGAGAGAGAACGTTCAATTAAGGATAGTTGTCAAACATATACATAAAGATATGTGGTATCTGGCATATAGTAGCATCATGGATTTGGATGTTTAAGAATTTGATATTTAAAATTGAAAATTTCATCATCTTGTACTTAAAATTGATGTTGGTAGAATAGATGATAAACTCGATCAAGAACTAATGGTTTCGTTATCTTAGGCCATAGTGATCTCTGTTCTACTTAATCAGTAGAGGTAGTCGACCCAACCTGACAGAAGAATCCTTATCGGCTAAGGGTACCTTGTAGATGTAGGGTGAATATTTGTCTAAGGATGTAAATTTAAACTCACCTTAGCTAAAAGAAGGCTTTGCACCATATCAATTATATCATATTGATTTATATCTAAAAAACTTAGCCCATTAGGGAGCATACGGGTTTTGGTCATGATCTTACTTTAGTGTTGTCTTTTGGTGGCAAACCGCCTAGTTAAGAGGGCCCCGATCATAACAGATTACATATGATGTCATTTGGTGATAAAATCATTAGATACAAGACATGTGCCACATCTTTGCTGACAATAGACTATTTGAGAATGAATCCTAATAATAATCTTTACCAAATATTAGCACTTTATGAACTGAAGTGATATTTGAAGGTGGATATGTTTTGCTTGAAGTGTTTTGATGATTAATTTTTATTTTAATTATTTGAATTTTGGTAGTTTTGGAGTTTTGAACTTTGTAGGCATTTGGGAGGCATATAAAACATTTGGAATTAACCCTTCTTATTGAGATCTATATTCAACACGGTCATGATCAAGGTATTTATGACTAGTTTTCATTTTGTTGATTGAACCTTGTTGATTGTGCAACTTGCTGGTAGAGGATTTGGTTCGTTGTTGGCTTCATGCCTTTATTATTGAATTTTTTTAGCTATAGACCTTGAAGGCCTAATATGAATATATTAACAATAAATATATCAGTCAACGTCGTGATCATATATTTATTTGATGGCTTGAGTCGTGTCGACTCCTATCCACTCATATAGAAGGATCTAGCTCGAATTTGAATTTATTATTTGACCCGTGCAACATCCTCAGATGACACATATATACCCATAACACGCTCTCTACGGCCCATGCTTGTGTGTGATTGCATATGTATTTTTTGTGTTATATTTGTGTGCTTAATGTACCTTTATGTTTTCATTTGTGTATTGACATGCTTGCATGTGCACTTCTATGTTTGTGTAGATGCATGCTACAATCCATGCGTGGGATATTTTTGGAGTGTTTGATGTTGATCGGGTGTGCGAATGATCTTCATTTGGGTGTACGGAGCGCTCTATGTAGAAGCCCGTAAATGTCTTTTGCCCTCTTATATATATGTCGCGGATTCAATGGCATGGCATTGTGTTTTATTCAGGGATTTGTAAATGTCTTATGTCCGCTTGCATGGATGTTATGGATCCAGTGGAGTGGTGCTATGTTTCATTTAGGAATTTCTAAATGTCTTATTTATGCTTGCATGGATGTTGCAGATCTGATGGTATGGTGTTGTAGGTGTGAATTAATTATTGCTTCAAGCAGGTGATGTGGGGCTAAGGTGAGGACTATTTGAGTGAGATTTGGGAACGAGTTGGTTGTCTTGGGCTTTGAAGATTAGGTGGGCTTTGATTGGGATATAGAGAGGAAGGAGTTAATGGGATGAGCTTTAAGGTGGCTGGGAGGAAGAAATAACAAGGGGTTTGGGTAAACTTTGTTCTTTGGAACTGAAGTTCTGCAGGATGCTCACGTGAGATGGGCTGAATAGGTCGTTGATCTGGTTGGCTGGGGGAGTTAATAATCTGTTTTATAAAGATGACGATTCCCGTGAAAGGCAAAATGAGAAAGAAAGCAACAGTTGTTGTTAAAGTAGGTCTCAAGTTTGAAGTTTGTAGTAAGGAATCGGGCTGAGGCTATAAGAGCCTTCATTTTAATGATAAAGCTCTATACTTAACTGACGCAGCTTGATTTACTGGACTTGATTGCAGAGCAAAAATCTGAGGTTTTCACGGGATATATGGGGATTCGATCAGAGCAGATAAGAAGTAATGTATTAGCTCTAATTTGAGTTTATTTGATTTCTATTTTTTCTTTATTTTAAAATAATAATAATAATAATAATATGTTTATAATACTAATAATAATATTATTATAGCTGGGTGAAACGGGAATTTCTCTATTTTGGAATTTATGCGTCGGCGAATTATGTGCGTTTTCCCTCAAAATACACACTGATTTCCCCACGCGAGTTTCAATGGAAAGTCTGTTGTCTATTTTGGATATTGTTGATATCTCAGATGCACGGCGAAATCTATTTTATAATCGGACATCATTTAGAAGAATGACGTGAGTCAATCTCCTCGATTTGTGCATCGTCGCCTCAAGATCCATGCTAATTTCCTCATGCAACTCTAATTGCTCAAATTGATAGCCACTTTTGGGTATTGATAACATTTATAATTCAATGGTGAAGTCCGTTTTGCGATCAATCATCGTTCGGGCAACATCGTGCAACAATTTTCTTGGTTTATGCATCATCGCATCGGGATTCGCGTTTTCGCCTCGGATGACCTCAATTGAATAGGTTGACAGTAATTTTTGGGTGTCGACGATATTCTAAACGCAAATATGAAATCCATTTTTCTATTAGATGTTGTTTGGGCAATGTTGCTATTAAATTTTTGGTGTTGGTCATCTCTTTGGACCAATCTCGTAATATTTGACTGTGAGGGCTCTCCTCTTAGGTGAATTTGAAATCCTTAGTATAATGATGCAGTCCATTTGGCAATTAGTGGTTGTTTGATCCTTCAAATAACGCGTTGGGTCAACACACATGTTGTTTGGATTGCCTATTTTTCCCTTTTTGCATGTGGTTTGATGTATGGTGGTCAACATCAATATCATGCCCTTGCTCAAAAATGGTAGGCTTAGCAAATAATCATGAGATGGTCTGAGCAATCTCATATTAAAATTTTCAAAATTTATTGTCAATGCAAGAAAATGTATTTTGTTACTCTGACACGAAAATGTATTTTACTACTCTCATGGTTAAAGGGAAGATATGAATCATTTATACAATACAAATGTTGAAATACATGACGTATTTGAAATGTTTGATTTAGCTGGGATATGGTGAGTTGGGTATATTTGTATGTTATTTTTTGACATGCTGTACATACATCTCACATATAAAAGTATCACAAATGTTTATGCATGTATGTATGTATGTGTGTGTATACACACGCTATTGATAAGTTTCTTCTTATCGTTGATTTCAAGAATTTTTTGTGCTAGAAAACTGTTGTAGAATGCAATAAGAAAATTGTACCAAACTAAACCTTAATTATGATCTTTTTAACATATTATCTCAATAATAAATACAGCTAAAATAGATAGAAGATCTTAAATTTAATTTCAAATTTTTTTGTCAAATAGAGTTTAGCGTGCTTTCAGATTTTATAATTACACTGAACTTCATGTAAGTTCAAATCAAATTTTGAAGCATATCAATCATTACAAGTAATGATGTATAGATTAAAGGCGGTGTACAAATAAAAAGATATTATGATGATGAAAAACAACTTGCATTATAAATTTAAGCCATCTAACAATGTTTATCTCGATAGTAATAGTAATAGAAACAAAGTAGCTATAATGATAAATGACAAATAGTTTGTAGCAAGCTTGCAAACAAACTACTATTTCTATTTATCCTGACCTGTTAAATTACCTGGTTCTTCCTAGATCACATGAAAGCTAAATCCCCGCACAAATTTCCTTTCAGAGTATAGGGTTTTTCTTAAGAGCAGCCTACGAGTTAATAATAGACCAAAAAGGATAATTGTCGCTAGTTTTGATTCCAGCAGTAGTAACTACTTTTATACTTTTCAATAACCTGATCCAACTCTCAGCTTTAGAGTAATCATGGTTCTTGGAATCATCAGAACTAGCCACATCCCAACTATTGGTCAGCTCTATAAATCCAATTTATATATTCACATAGAGATTAGATCTGAAAAGAACCTCATGATTATCTGCAAGCAACCAATTTAGTCTCAGAGTATCAGATTCTCCATTTTGAGTCCCTCGACTACACAAATTGACCCAAAATAATCTCTCATGCAATTATTTTGATACAAAATTAATCCCAATATAGTGACTTGACTATATAAAATTAATATCAATTTAATGTAGTTGATGAAATAAATTGGAGAAATATGATAACACTGAGGGAATATTTCGGATAACTTTGCATGGTCAATGAATTAAATTAAAAAAAAAAGTGATAGTTTAGGACTAAATTAAAAAAAAAAAGTGATAGTTTAGGACTAAATTAATCACATATGAAAAGTTTAAGGGACCATCTTATGGTTTAACCCTATTCATATGCACCCTCATCTTTCTTCCAACATAATATATCCACTACACTTAAATCTAACACACTTATGTATTGTTTTATCTTTTAACAATATTATCTAAACAATATTAATATTCAGATATTAAGCTTAAATACAAGGCTGTGTTATACTAATTTAAGAACTTATTTTTCATAAACAAATTCTTCATTATTCAAGCATTCCACTTATTTTAAGAAACATCTCACCAGTTACGATTATGTCATCTACATGAAACATATAATAAAGTTACTAACTTTAAATAGTATTTCCTAAGCATCTTTATCTTCTATACAAAAAGTTACAGACTTAAATGATATAATATAATTCAACTTAACTCTAATTAAAATCACTTTGATCACTCCATAATTATTTCTCATACTAGTTAATGATCCATCATACATATATTTAAAAATGACAATATTACTTTGAGACTTTTTCCTTAATACACACAAAAATCAATTATTTTGGTACATAATCAAAAGCCTCTTTAAGATAAAGAGAAAACATATAAAGATCCTCTACTTTCTATACTTTTTTTGTTATCTTAACACAAAAAATTACTTACAAAATGAATCTACCTATAGCATGAAACCAAATTAACTTGTTGATATAAACATAATTTTTCCAAATTATATGTTTCATTACTCACTCCTATAACTTCATTATATAGCTTATAATTCAATAGCTCAACATGTTACAGATGGGTGTTGTATACAGTCACAAAAAATTCACTTTTTTTTTACTTTTACCTTAATCCTACAATCGAACACGTGAACTTCTGCTAGAGACTTTATTAGAGAAACCATTCTTTCTCTGTTTTAATAAATATAGGTAGACAAACTTAACTGTCCTATTAGAAATGCATGTAGGCAAAACACAAGTAATCTAATAGAAGAAAGATATTGTTGTGGACCTTCGAAAGGGATCCGCTGTGCAGGGGACAGAGTGCAAAGGGGGTATACGACCACACCACCCTGATGGACGAAACAATCGTAGACCTTCGTACTCTTCGCAAGCGGCCCAATGGAAGGGCAGATTAGATCGCACATACGACTAGCCATTACGAATAGCGTCTCTCGCCAACGCACCCCGATGGGTAGTAATATATACGACCTGATCGAAATAACGAGTTTCCCCCACCCAATACATCAGCTCGAGTAGGATTTATTTGATGGTGAAGTTCTGTTTCCTACGAGCGCAAGCCACCATGGTTAATTAGATCTCAGGCCGGAGCTTAAGAATACTCTCGATTAAGAATCCGACATTATTCTTTACAAGAAGGAGATCATGAATCTTTTAGTTTTGAGTTTGATTTGTTAACATCTTTTAAATTTGGATTTGTTAGGGGGTGGTTAACAGGTTGATAAGTTTTAGTTCAGGTTTATATTAAAGTTTTGCATTTTAGTGGTTATATGTGTTGATTATGATTTAATTAAAAGTTAAGTATTTTAGTGCATTTTTATTTGGATTATTAGTGATTTTCATTGATTAATTATAAATGAATTATAGCATACTAATCCTAGGATAATGTATCATTAAGTTTTCTATGTTTTATATTTCTATCCTAAAACAAGCAAGCATCATAAGTCTAGATTTTTATGACTCGGTCCTTAATTCTTGTCCTTAAATATCACTAGTATTGTAAGGAAGAAAGATGTCATTCTAACCCTTTGGATATATCCACGTGTGTAAATGAGTTTAGGGATAATAAAATAAGAAAATAAAATAACCTAAGAATTGAAGTTTCTATAAGGTCCTAAGGGTAGGGGAACGTGCACATAGAAGGGCACCCTAAAGGCTATCTAAGTTTTAAGGAAACTTACAGCACCAGGGGATAAAACTCGGTGGTTCCGCCCGTAGCGTCCCCACCAGAATGAATGGAGGCGACTGATGCTCGAATTTGATTGTTTGTGCTCCTTCATCTAGTGCTCCGAAGCTCCTTGTCTTCTTTGCTCTCCAAAAAGTACCTCGCAAAGAACACAGAAAAAGTCGAAGGTTTTATTAGAGCACATTAAATATTTAATAAGCAAATAATTAAAATGAAATACAATTAAATAAGAACGTATCTTTTTTCGGGCTTGGACACCGGTTGAACCATTTGCCTTTCTAATCTTGGACTTTGGAAGCATTACTTTTCATCTCAAGGCACAAGTAACAGGAAAAGAAAGAAATAGAGGGAGGAGGAGAGAGAGAGAGCTAGGACTCCACTTTTCCACAAAACCCAAACTTCCAACACCTCACTCCACCAAAACTAATAAGAGGCTTCCTCTCTTTTTTTTTCAAGTAACCACTTATTTTACTCATGCAAAGAGATACCCCACCATCCTTCTTTCCAAAACAAACCACAACACGCAAGCTTCCACCATACATCTCTTCCTGACACACACACTTCTCTTTCAACATGAAGCATATGATTTTGCATTCGGACCATGCATTCTCTGAAAATTGAGGCCACCAATGAGCAGGAATGGAATTTCAACAAACTCACAAACTCATTTCTAATATCAAGTGCACAATCATAGCTTGCCAAAGATTCAAAACTAGTATCACGTTATGTGATAGAAGAAAAACAGCCCTGCTGACTTAAGACAACCAAATCTTTTCTATAAAACATTCTCTAACTTCTCATAAGAGTGACATTAACATGAGAGCTTTGTTTAAAGAAGAAAGGAACTAGATTTTCTATCACCGTTACATTCTTAACAAAAGAAATCCAAAAAGGAATCAGATTCTTACTTATCTTAATAGAGAGAGCTCATAATATCATTCACAGTATCAGAAAAAAAATTAACCCAAAAGATGCATTATAAACTTCAAATCGGATCTATCATGGCTTCTTGCTTGGCTTTGGGAAAGGAAAAGCAACCCTTCTCAAGAGAATGCCAAGAAGGGGTTAAGGCTATTTTAATCCACAAGACAAACTCATTTCAGATTTTAGATAATCATAGAACCTCAAACCATTCATCAACTCCAGCCATCCGGATTAAAACAAAGAAGATGAAGAAGATGGGGCGAGAGGGCAGTAAAACAAATAGAAGAAATCAGTGAAAAAAAAAACTGCAGCTAACTCATCTCCAAATCAGTTTTGGAGCATAGAACCAGTAAAAACCTGCCCACAATCTATTTCCAAAAAAGTTTGCAGTATTCAACCAGTGCCAATCTGCACACAACTCATCTCCAAATCAGTTTGGAGCCTAAATCAAATCAAAATCTACACTTGTTTATTTCCAAAAACAGTTTGGAACCCAAATCAAATAAAAAACTGCACTTGTTTTTGTTTCCAAAAACAGTTTAGAACCCAAATCAAATCAAAAATTGCACTTGTTTTGTTTCCAAAAACAGATTAGAACCCAAAATGAATCAAAATCAGCACTTGGTTTGTTTCCAAAAAACAATTTGGAACCCAAACTCAAATCAAAATCTGCACTTGGTTTGTAATGTTCACAAAGGTTTTGCAAAATAAACTAAAGTGATCATCATTTTGCCCTCACAGTCACCATGAAATCCCGATGCCCATGTTTTATTGAAATTATCGTAAAATAATCCACCTAAAATTCATCACAATAAAGGAGAGCAATTTGTGTTACAAAAAAAAAAGGAAAACTCTTATGCTTCTCCCGTTTAATGCATGGAAACATGGCACAAGAAATCAAAGATTCTCCAAACTCCCAAGGCCTTTAAATAGAGAAATAATCTTAACAAAAAGGCATCACATTGTCATTCAAAATTGAAAGAAAGAAAGCTAAAATCAACTTTCTCTTTATATATAGATGCTATCTTGATGCAACGAAGAACAAAAGAGAACCTTCAACAGCAGTTCGATTAGAATTATGATATATATCCAAACGACAACATACTTTTATAAGACGAACTTTAATTTCAGTTATCTATAACAAACAATGAGATATAACCCTTCCTAAAGTGACGTGTATATATATTCTTTAAAGAAAATCTGCACTACCTCTTAATGAGCATTGTTGCGGGCACCTTGTATGCACTCGGTAGAAGTGCTATGATTTCTCCCTACTCATACACAGGGTTTTAAACCATATATTATATGATGTGAGTCATCGATAGACGCAACTTTCTGCAAAAATTCTTTTTTTTTTTAAAGGAGCCAAAGTGCAAACACTTCTCATGCATTCAATACATGGTGATACAGACTTTTAGAATCTGTAAATGAAACTTTTAAGTGATCTACCATATGGCATGAACCGTGAACAAATGTGGATTCTACATAAAAGAAAAGCTTCAACCAACATAAACTGCTCAAGAGATAACGGTATACAAGCACTCGTTTAATTGAGGTTCATGTCAAAACAAAATCCACTTTAAAAAAAAATGCTTTGCTGACTTCTAATTAAAGGACACTTATTATCATTCATCACTTAATCTTGAAAGGGAGATGGCAACAGAAATCCTTTTCAAAGAAATTAACAAGAGAACCAAATATAATATCTGTAAAGCTATGTAGGAGAACATTGATGCAGCCCTTTAGGTTTAAAAAAAATGGTCTCCAGCCATTGCCATTATAGCATGAAACAAGAGGGAAAAGTAGCATGCTCTCATTTTAAGACCAAAGAAAGTAATCATCTTTGGAAGCAAAGAATGAGAAGGAACTAGAAGAAGAAGAAAACAAGGGAAAGAAGCAGAGAGAATGTAGGGAAGAAGATATAAGAAGAAAAAGAAGAATAAAATGGAGAGGGGTTTACCTTCTGATGAGAAGTTGAGTTCGGCAAAGCAAGGCACGCAAACCAGTCGTAGCCGGAGCTTGAGACTGGCGTTAGCTATGGCAGAGGACCTCCGACTGGAGTTTGCAAATAGGATGGGCCTCGGGAGTGCTTCGGCTTTTGGTATCGTGCGAACCACAGAGAGACGAAGGAGGGAGACCAAGAGAACTTTGGTTTTGCCTGGGACTTGCGAACAAGAGAGTCGATTCGAAAATCTGGAGGTCGGGTGATGGGGACATCAAATCATGGAAGGTTTATCAGAGACGTGGCCGCCGATCTACGGCCACGATTGAGTCATTGTATTTTTTATTTGGTCTATGTATTTTTCTTATTTATGTTGTCGTAATTTATTTGCTTTATTTAATTTCCTGTTGTACCCTAGGGGCATTATTGTCTTTTGTCTTTGAGTCCTTTGTATGAGGCTTTATATAGTCCTCCTTGTTCTCTTTTGAGGTTAATGAATTATTGAATGATAAAAAATTTTGCATTGTGAGTTTTTGTGAAAGCTTGAGAGAAATGGCAGAAAAATCTCTTGGAGAGGGAATCGGATCACCCACCAACCTTGGAAGAGTCCGGATTCATGGCTTGTTTTATTTATTCTTTTCTTCCAAAACCCCCTCTCCACCCGAGCCCATCCCCCTCCACCACCACCCACAGCCCAACCTACAAGCTGCACTTCCTATTTCTTTTGGGAATTGTTTCCAAAAGACAATCTACATACTTGGAATAATTCAAACTATCCCCTCCTCTCTCTTGGCCGAAAATTCCAAGGCCCCACTGTGAGAACCCTTTGAATCATTCAAGATTTTTTGTGCAGTTCGTCCATTACGAACTGAGGTCGTCCGGGACGAACAGTTGGAACTTTAACTTCTTCTGTACAAATCGTCTACACGAATGGAATGAGATCAGAACAGAAACATTCATCCATGTACTATCTTAATTATCGTCAGTACGATTTGTGTCTGAATGCAATACAGAGACGATCATCCCGGTATGAAATTAAACATCGTCTGTACGATTTTCATCTGAGAACAGAACAGAGACGTTCGTCCCGGTACGTAAATTCATCCCGTACGATCGAAAATATCTCACTTCACTATTTATCCGTCATTTACCCGGTTAAGAGAGAGAAAGAGCATGAGAGAGAAAGAGAAGGAGAAAGAATAGAACGTCCGATTTTTGGGCGACTTTGGTCTGTTTTCGTCCATTGACGTAGTTGAGAAAGTCGTTCGACTCGAGGTAAGGCACATTACGCCTATATCAATTTTCAAAAATATGGGTTTTGACGAATATTCCGATTAAAATTTTGTATCTGTTAGAGAAAAACGGGTATAATTCTGCAACGGTAAAACTTTCACCGCGTAACTTTTTATAGGTCGTAAAGATTATGATTCTGCATATTCTTAGTATTTTCTGGAAAATTTTCACCGAGTATTCTGAAATCTGTGGGGTTTTTAATGAATAGAAAATTATCGGGATGTTGAAAAATAGTGCAATATTACAAGAAAAGTCTTAAAACATTGTTTTACACAATTTCTAGTGATTTGGTAATTTTTTGAAACTGTGCATTTTTTTGCCTCGTTGAATTTTCTGTTGTCTACCGTTATACAATCTGATGATGTTTTGATCAAATGCTCTATAATTGTTATAATGTGATGTTATGTGCTCATGTGATTAAACGATATCTGCTGGGAGTTATATATAAAGGGTCAGAATCCTTTGAGATTCTATCTGTGTCAGGGAATAAAGGGAGGCATAAGGGGCCAAAATCCTTTGAGATTTTTTCTGGGTCCAGGAAATGTGATATGATCTGGATAACTATGTATATCTGATATGTTCTGGTGCTGTAAGCACAAAGGAAGGCATAAGGGGCCATAATCCTTTGAGATTCTGTCTGGGTCCGAGAAATCTGATCTGAATAGCTCTTTGACATGAATTTCTGTACATATATCTGTTCTGTACGATTACCTGTTCTGTAAAATTATCTGTTATGTACGATTATCTGCATTTTGTACAATTATCTACATTCTGTGCGGTTATCTGAATAATGAAATGTTTGTTATGTATTTCTAATTTGTGATTTTTAATTCAATGAATTATTTAACCTGCAATTAACTGTTTTTAAAAGTTCAGTAAAATATTTGAAATAGAAGTATTTGGAAATTTAGATCGGCTAGTGTGACTTGTTGAACTGTTAGCTCACTGTGGTTTTATTCGTGGTTTACAGGATCTGGTAAAGGGAAAGAGGTTGAGGACTTGCTGTTCAGGATCCAATCTAAAGTTATAGGTATTTTGTTATTTTGATTTTTGTACAGTCATGGCTAGTTTACTGTTCAGTTCTATAATCTTTGTCTGAAACCATGTACTGTAATGTATATGATTATTTTGATGAATGAAAGAAATTTAGTGGATGAGTTTTTTTGTATTTGGATATTTTAGTAGCTCTATGGTTCAGTATTATTTTCAATGAATATCGGCAGAAAAAACTAAAAACAATTCCAAAATTAGATCCTGTGTCACGGCTCAACACGATAGGACATTTTTTGGTCGGGTTGGATTGTGACACCCACCTCCTTTTATTTCTTTCGAAAATCCTATTTTTTTCTTTTGGAATTAAATCTCAAACCTCCTCACTCTCACCCGCCCCCCTCATCTCTTTCCTGGTTAATTAATTCCAATGTTAGGAATTAATTAGAGGAATTAATTCTCCCAAATTCCCTCCATCTTTCTTTCATCTAAAAGCTGAACCTAAATCTTTCCACACACCCTCACCCTTGGCCGACCACATAATTCCCTCATCCCCACTTGATTTCTCAAGACAATCTCCTCCTTCTCAAGAGGAGTCTTTAAGGAAGCAACGTTCAACGTCTTCAAACCTTTTAACCATTCGAAATTCATGAATGGCCGATCCCGACACTGACTACGGACTTTCGTACAACGAACACAGTTTCGTGCATAATATCCATTCAACCTTCTTCGACGTCAACCCGAGGATCGATCATACGGTTTAGGATTACATAGACCGCACTTGGACACCTTGGTTGAAGCAATTGAAGAACAACTTGAAATCGTCGAGAGGAGGATTGTTGCCGATCCTTGATGAAGGTTTTCTACTTTTCTCGCATTTCTTATTGTAGTCACGAAGGATTTGTCCGTCCGATTCTGCTAAGCTTAGTAAACGTAGGAATTTAAGTGCACTTCTTTGTTTCTAACTCTTATTGTTATATTAGGGATTTTTCGTTGAAAGCTACTACTTTGCATAATATTGTTTCCCTACGATGTTTTGATGGCTCAAATCTTTTGATATGTAACTTGGAATGAACGAAAGTGCCCGCTCCTACGTTTTGATTCATCATTTTTTTAATTGCTAGTAGTTCTTCTTGTTACTCTTCTTTACAATAAGCTATGCAAGCTCTTAATAAAATCATTGCAAGCCTTGTAGTCCTACATCATCGGGGTTGAGGCATTCGCTAATGCTCGGAGTAAATCCTAAATCCCCCCTCCATGCCTAGAAAGGTATGAGTTAAATGCTCGTTAATGCCAAAACGAAACCCGCCGCTTGTGTCCTCTCTCTGGCTTTTTGAAATCTTCCCATACATGCTCGAAGCTAATAGCGCGACCTCGGCTGAATCGTGGACCTCTGGTTAGGCTAAATAGGTTGAAATTGGGTTCGAATTGGGCTCAAATTGAGTCGATTCAAATTAAATCCAATTCAATTAATTAGATAAAATTAAACTAAGTCATCATCAATTTGGGTCACATTTGGGTTTGATGTGGCTAAAGCAGACTAATTGAGATCAATCGAACATGATCGAGTCTAATTCGACTCAATTCAAGCTGATTCGAGCTCGAATTGGACTAAATGGGGCTTGACTATATCAATCAAGGGCCCCCGAGGGCACTCAAATGAAAATCGAGGTCAACAACTGTCAAGCTAAATCTATAAAAAAAATGAAGACAAATATTTATATTAATAATGAACTCGAAGCCAATTAGCCAAATGGTTAAATTAAGCAAATAACCAAAGACTAATAGCAAGATTCTGGCCACCCAATAAAAGCCAGTCGTGATGA